CCTTGTGAAAGGAAATAATCCCAAACAGTGGTGGAAGTCGGTTAAAGCTCCATGTGGAATGAATCCTGTTTCCCCTTCAAACGATCTGCGTTTACTATTAAATCAAGAGAACGAAGATCACTCTAGCAGCTACGAACATCTAACCAACATAGCAAACTCTATCAACCACAAATTTCTTGAACCTATGTTCTCTTTCACACCTCTTGGAGCTATGACCTCGCCAATTGATGATTCTGCTCTACTTTCCGACGTGATCACAGTGGACAAAGTCTTTGAACTCCTTGTTCTCCTCAAACCATCCAAAGCTTCTAGGCTCCCTGGTCTTCCTGCCTCAGTACTGAAAGAAAACACGAACGTTCTAGCCGAGGCTGTTAACAACATACTCCACAGTTCGTACGGCGAATATAACCTCCCTTCGTCGTGGAAGAAGGCAGATATCACGCCCCTACCAAAACAGAAACCAGTCCTGGACGCCGGTAAACATTTAAGACCAATTTCTTTGACGCCCACCTTGTCTGAAAGTGGCAGAAGAGTTTGTCGTCGAAGGTTTCATAAAAGCAGCTATCATGAAACAGATTGATCTACGAAAATACAGTACCGTACCAAGTTCCTCTACCGCATACGCCCTGATTAGCATGATCCACCACTTCTCCAAGTCTACGGATGGCAATGGTAACTTGGTGAGAGTGCCTTTTCTTGATTTCCGCAAAGCTTTTGATCTCATCGATCATAATCTGTTGGTTCTGAAGCTCTCTTGAATTACCGTACTCGGTAGTGGCCTGGGTCATGGATTTTCTGACCAACCGTTAACAGAGGGTTAAAATGGGCAATGGTATTTTTTCCAATTGGTCCTTGGTTCCAGCAGGTGTCCCTCAGGGGACCAAAATATGGACCATGGCTTTACATTCTTATGATTAATGACCTACATGTCAATGGAGTTTGCCTTTGCAAATATGTTGACGATCTTACACCCAATCTACGAGTTTAAAGTTCACCTTCAACGAAGATAAGTGTAAAGAAATGCATATATCTTTCTCCAGGTCCGAATCGCAATGCACCCCCACCCACCCCTCAATGATTAATGGTAAAGAACTCGAACTCGTCAGGCAAGCTAAAGTCCCTGGCATAATCATCAGTAATGACCTTAAGTGGAACTGCCAAGTGAATTATATCATTAAAAAAACATCCAAACGTATGTATTTTCCGAGACAACCCAAACGCGCGAAAATGCCTGTTGCGGATATGGTGAGGTTCTACTCTTCATGCATACGTAGTGTCGTCGAATACGGTTCACCCGAATTTCACAACGCTTTACCATCATATCTTAGCGACGAAATCGAAACGGTTCAGAAGTGGGCCCTGTCTATCATTTATGGCCCTGGTCTATCATACACCAGAAGATTGGGAGTTTCCAACTTACAATCTCTTGCTAGCCGTCGTCAACTTTTATGCGAGAAATTGTTTGTAAACATAATAAAAGACCCAAACTACAATTTATACAACCTACCTCCAGGTTTCAACATTAACACAAGATACCCATTAAGGAATACCAGAGTCTTTATTGAACCCTTCTATTGTACTGATCCTTTTAAAAAATCCTTCATTATAGCTTCAATTAGAAATTTGTAATTTTTATTTGATATTTCATAGCATTACCAGTGTTATTCCTTCTTACGACTGCATTATTGGTTTTCCAATAAATTATTGTTATAAAACGTTAAGTCTGCAGAACGCGCGTAATTATTTTTCGCTTTCTCAGTCAATGGGAAGTAAGCACCAGGTAAGCGAAAAAGGTTCGTGCATACCTCCCTTTATCTGAAAACCGCAAGTAGTAATTTTCCTTTTGCAAGCTATTAAATGTTAAAAGAAACGGTCAGAAGGCTGATGCAGCTAAAAAGTGGACAATTCATTGTTACCAAGAGTCTCCTTACACATGAGGCTACAGGAGAAGCTACAAACTGTCCAGGTGACCTGTAAGGTGAGTTAACCTGCCGTGGGCTAGTTTTTAATCTAGTGGAAAGCGTAATACCATGTTAACTCGAATGAACGCCACCCCGAACAAGCACCGTCTTTGGGACAGAGAAGTTAACAGGCGCCGCCCTCGAATAAGCCACGGTCCCAGTGCGGCCGGCTTGTTCGAGGAATTCTTACACACACACACACACACACACACACACACACACACACACGCACACACACACACAAAAGTTGCGTTTTCAAATGAAAACGGATGTCTGTGGACGGGGCCTCAAATCAAGAAAAGTCCAGTGAGATCGAAGTTGATTGAAGATATCACAGGTGGTGGCACTGAAGAGTGCCAGAAGATATGAAAGGTGACAATCAAAAGACGCTTCTGTTATTCACTGTAAAGATAGAAATTTCCCCTTAAATCAAAAGGACATATTTTGTCTTCGCGCTCATACAATAGGTGAATAAGCGCCTCCCTCAATTACGCGACGCATTTGAGACACGAAAAATTAATTAAGAGCCGCAGCGCTTATTCGAATGAACACTATGGTACTCCAAGTCACTATATAACACAGAAAATAGAATAAACTCTCACATTAATGCAAGGCTACCGTATGGCTACAACCCTAACATCGCAAATGGAAGCTTACATTACAATACAATACAATACAATACAATACAATAAAATAACTTTTATTTCAACAGGATGATGATTAAAGCATTGCCGCATATGAGGTCGTGCATTTAAGCTAACTAAAACTTAAGAAATAAAAGTATATTCGAAGTTTTACGAATGCTCATTCATCACCTCATTTTATCTTATTCATAGAATCAAGGGGCCTCTGTGTAAGCCTCCTTACTGTATATATAAAAACAGCTATACGATCAAAAAGTTCCGATTTTTTCAATCTCACTGACTAAACAATATTTCATCAGAAATTGATTACATTTTACTTTCCTTTCGTAGTTCGCTCGAAGGAGATGCTAAGTTTTATTGTAAACGGTTTCAGTTTTGTGGGTATTGATTTGGATCGAACAGTCATACATGGTTGGTGCATCGTTTCAGTGGCCCCTTTGTCTCTTCATTAACTTATAAAAAGCTTGGCGTGATATCATAGTCCAAGTGCTCCAGCTTGTTTGAAATGACGTTCACCAGTTGGAGCAGATGTCACACATTGCTCAGCAAAGACAAAATGCGACTAACCAACTCTGATTAGAAAAACGCTCACAAACTGACTCCTTGAGTTGATTTTACAGACCAAACGTTTTTAGCACACAAATCACTTCATATGATGAAAATTTGCCGAAGGGGAAAAATTGAAAATGAATTAACCAGAGCCAAAAATAGCGATCGAAATTTAAACAACAGAACAGAATAAGATTCCTACATGTACATTCTTTACTCAAAGCTAAATTCTAAGTCCTCCTTAGTTACTTTACTCTCATTAGACTGATTGTTTATGGCCACATTATGTTTGTTTTTGATTTGCTTTGCTTTTGAATTGATGTTTACCTCAACGGTTTTAGCCACATCCGTCAGCGAAAAATTCCCCGGCAGGAAAGAGAACCTTCTTCCTCTAGGGTCCCAAAGTTTCCAGTTTTTTCAAATCGAAATTATCGCAAAGGGTTGGAGGATAATAAAATGAAGAGATCTCAAGTTAGGATTAGGTGCTTCAGTACATAACAGCACTATTTATTGCAACGTTGCAAGTAAAGTTGTTTACTTACATAATAAATTACATAAACTAATTAGTGATATGTCTTTCACTTTGAGAGTCTGTAAAATTAAGTCAATCAGTTTAAGTTGTATCAGTTTAAGTACATGGGCTCGCAAAAACAAAAAATGAAAAAAAAAACAAAACAAAACAAAACAAAACAAAACAAAGCAAACAAAAAAACTGGTCCCAGTGGGATATTAAGACTTCTCATCGTATTTTGCTATTCAGCACTGGTTGATATCAAACTCTGCGTTGTAGTCTTGATATCTCTCTTCCTTTTAAAGAATTAACGAAAATTATAAACGTTGCTCTCATTCACTGCATTTTGAACGCCCTGGCGCATTCTTCTAAAATTGTTTTGTCTGTTTGCTTTCGCTTCTACACAGAATTAGCGCTTTATTTTCTTCTTTTGCAAGTAAGAAAAGAGAGTGCGCGATGATTATTTAGTGAACTTCACGCTCTCTCTTTATCTCTACTGTGTATCATAAACTCAGTTAGTAGCATTGCCCTGAAAACATTTATTTACCCATGACTATTAACCAGTCAATGCTCTCACCTCATAGCATGTGTTAACAGCTTTGAGTGCTGTAACACTTCAATAGTCCTTCAACGGTTTTCAGTTCTCACTTCAAACGCTTGATTACTCAGTCATTTATTTTCGATTAAGATAATTCAAAAAGATTTCTGTTACTTCGGGTAGTTCCGTTTAATTAACCTTTTTGCAATCAAAATTTCAAACATATAAGTTTTTCTGGCTCAAGATTTGCTTCGATATTACATCACCGGCGCATCGTAAAGTCTTAAAGACCAAAACCTTACGGTAAAGCTTTGTGTACATGACATAATAAAAATGTACCACCTGTAAAAGAGAAGTTTTTAACGGGTACCAGTTTGCCGCGTGATCTCGCGAGATCGCGACGTTTAATAAGCAGTGCAAATATTGCACATTAAATGTCTTAGATATAATTTCAAAGCTGTACCAAACAAAAAACCTCCAAGTAACCTTAATTTGCTCCACGTAAAGAATAGAAAACAGTGATGCCATATGCTTGATTAAAGATTTCCCTAGCGTGATAACACAACGCACTTTTTTCTTTAAGTTATGTTTAAACTTCACGCTTAATCCATAATGTTCATATACAAATACCTTTGGTGCACGCTTTAATTGTGTGTAAGTCAAGCGTAGCTTCTAATTCCAAATATGGACAAGGTGGACGATCAGAGCTCTGATTGGTTAGAGCCACGACGCTTTCTGACCCTTCCCTCAACCTATGAAGTCATTGGTGAAGTAGGTACTGGTCCAGGCTTCCGGCGTAGTTTGGTGCGGGTGGTCCGCCAAAAGCCAACCTTTGTCTGATTTAAAATTCTGAGATAGCTTTTGACTGGTAAATGTAAGAGAGAAATATCTGAATATTTCGCTTTAGTTTTTGTCGTCTGAGGACGGCCCAATCTCATGTGAGATGAAATTTAGCGTGCTTCTTATACTTTGCCTGGCATGGTTATCTCAGGCGTCACCAATTTCACGTAAGTACGCGTCTTATTTTCAATATTTTTGGTAAGATCAGAGATCGAACTCAAAACAAGTTGGTCGCGATGATTGTATGGTGGCCATAAACTGTTTAATTCCCTCAGCCCTCTATTGATCGACTTGTTTCGAGAGATCAAACTAACAGATCCACGATCGTTTAGATTTTTATTAAACGGACTGATGTATTCGGTAAAAGCCCAGAGACTGACTTTATTCAATTAGTTGCGATTGTTGAGTTCATTAAATATGTAACTTCCCATGTTCGGAAATAGAAATTGAGATAAAGTGACTTAAATTTTTGAAGTGCTTCCACTGGATTGTCTGAAGTGTGTTTGAAGTGATTTCAAATTTATTCCCTGAAATATATTTACAGTTTAGGCAAGATAATCGGTTTCAGAGCTGCACAGACTCTTCTGAAATTGCCTTCCCGTTCAGCTGTTCTCTTTTCCGCATCAGTGACTTCTCATCACTGCAAACTTCGGGGCCAAAACTCAACTCTCACAGTGTGTTTTCAGCAACAAAAGAACTAAACTGAAACTAATAATTGCTTTCAAATGATCATGGAGATCTCAAGAATCAGGCATAAACTTAATTCAGACAGACAGCATGTCTACTGGAAAACTTGCAATCTATGGCAAAGTTTATCCCATGTTGACAAAAACGTTTTGGTACTTTCTCAAACTTATCTTTGACACTCATACACGTTCTGAAGGGATTATTTAATTTCAAAGCGCGTTTGCATCGAGTTAGTCAGGGTTTGCCACATATGACACCGACGAGCACCAGATAGTGGCACCTTTGGTGGTAATTCCATGGGTCACTGTCTCCTATAACCTCAGGTGGGTCATGTTCGGAAAACCGTAGTAAATGTCCTTTCTCGTCATATACAAATGGCTTAATGTTTTACTGTTGCCTTTAAGTTTTTGTCGTTTTGCACCCCTATCGCTAACAGTTGGTTTTTTAAAATTTAGATCGAGGAGGAGTCGACATTGCATTAAAAGAGAAAACTAAACATATTTGTCGAAGGGCTGACGCTCAAAACTTCCGCTTTACAAACTATTTACGGTCACGGTGGCCGATTTACATTTAACAACTCAGTTGATAAAACCAAATTATATTTGCACAAAGAAGAGTTTTTTTAGTCTTAAACTAGAATGTATCCAAAATTAAATAACTCAACCATAGAAACTGTCAAAACTCAGTTGTACTTGCATATGCAAACTGACTACGTTTGACGAGCAACCTGTGATACACGCTGTTAAAACTACTGGCTTTTTACTAATAGGGACAAGACCCACGAAAACTTTTTGTCGAAACACCTCTACCCGCTCAAATGTCAACCTTTCTTCGTACTTTCGAGTTTTTCAGTTACCAACATGAGTGAAAAGGAGGGGGCCAGGGCCAGTGTTAATGAATCGGTTGTGTTAAGGCTTGTTAAAACAATACGGTACTTTGTCTCCGTGGGTGTATGGGGTTGGAAAGTTGAAACAGTTTGATTGTTCAGAGCTTTTGCTTCATACGACCTTGGAGGAATGTTAAATTTAAAGTGGATGTGTGTCAGGCCGATCTGCCCAGACGAAGGGCTAACGCTCGAAACGTCAGTTTTAGAAACGCTTTACTGTGCCAATTTACATTATGAACTTAACTGATAAACTCAAACTGCTTTGTAATACCCCCTCCCCCCAGCGACGCAGCATCACATTTTCTCCAGAAAGTTATCCCCTTTATATGATTCGAAAATATATCGCCTATCGTAAAGTCCTTCGTGGAGCATTGCGGAAAAGAAAACAATGAAGAATTACGGCGACACCAGGTTGGGTTTAACCAAAGACCTGCTGTACATTTTTTTAAATACTCCATCTAGATCTTTTGTGTAAATGGCATTTGGAAAAAATGTATATGTTACAGAGAAAGAAGGATAATAGATTGCTAGTCGAAAATCGCTCAACTTTGCTTCCGTTTAAGTATAGGTAATCGCACGGGGCCGAGTAAAATTAAGGATTAATATCACGCATGTATTCGGAAGTTGCTGAAATTGCCCGAGTCGCGCAGCGACTCGGGCAATTTCTGCAACTTTCGAAAACACAAGTGATATTAATCCTTAATTTTACAAGGAACCATGTGATTACTTGTTTACAATATAAGGGGCAAAATGTTTTCTTACTGATCTCGCGCAAAACGGGACGCCATTGTTACAAAACAAACAGAAATTTCTTTACCTTGGCAGCCGTTGCTGAGCGATTTTCAGCCAATCATTTTCAAGTAATTTTGCCTGGGGCAATTACAAAAATTAAGAAAAAAAATGCCTTCTGTCTTGACCAATCACAGTTCAGTAATTTTGCCCCTTATATGATAAGTTTAAAAACGTTCTAAAAGCGATAAAAGAGCGAATTTTTATCAAATTTAAACCAAGACACATTCTGAAGAATGCTGTAAAGTAGGTTTTCGTTGTCAGGCAAAACCGTTTTGCATTTCCTTCCAAAAGAAAGCTGAAACTCAAAGGATTAGAGTAGTCATTAAATAAGGATTAATTCGACATGAAAAACAATTGCCGCAAAAAGAAAAAAATTATAAAATAAAAATAAAAAACAAAATCCATGATAAAAAAATTCAATGTCAAAAGTAGTTCAGGCTAAATACGGACTCAGTTAAACAGTATTTATATGGCTAATGTATCAAAAAACTCTCATGGTGCTTTACAATAAGTAAAATAAATTAATTAAAATTAATTTAAAAATGAACACAATAACTGTCGATAAATATAGAAAATAAATATGGTTTTAGATTCGTATTGAAAAAGATTTAATGATACATAGACAGGTAAAAACGAGCGATATAATATCCCAACGTTGCGGCGACTTCATGACGCCATTATCAAGGGTACAAATGATTCTTTTTAAATAAAGGCAGTGTTCCGACATTTCTGACGTGGTTCGGCAGGCAATTCCATAATTTTGGAATTAACAATATAAAAGGAAAGACAAAACGAGAAGAGCTATATTAAAATGATTCATCGCACCATACTAAACCTATCCGGCCTGTTCAAATTTGAACGTCAGTGTATCGAAAAAAAAAAAAAAAAAAAAATTTCGCGTCACTGATGTTTTTAAATGGAAACGCAGAGGCATTTATTGAAAACACCACGTATCATTCGCCATTTCTGAATCTAATTATTCAGTTTCTCGAAAGTGGTGCATTGTAATGTTATCTGCCAAAAGGGAGATATGAAGAATATTTGGCTTGAATTTGACTCTGATGACGAGATCCACTCAGTTGTCATCGTCATCGACAAAAGTTCCTTCCAGGACTTCCGTCGCCCAGTCTAACAGAATGGAGAATACAATAAAATCATTACAGTTTATCATTTACAACTTGAATACACTACAATAAAATCATTACAGTTCATCATTTACAACTTGAATACACTACAATAAAATCATTACAGTTTATCATTTACAACTTGAATACACTACATTGGCTGAGCCATAATGAGTCGAATGATAGTTTTCTACAAAGACTGGGTGTGTCCTTTAAGCTATTGTGACTGTAAAATGTCAAATATTCCCGATAATAAGTTTCCCCACCTTTCGTTAACAGGGAGAGATAAAAGAGACGCAGATGACCTAGAAGCCGACAAAGAAGGTATGAATGATTGTTAACCATTTATTAACGGACAAATCTCGTCAAAATGAAGTCTATTATTCAAAAAATGTCCCTTTTATCCACAGTTAGAACAATAATTTCTGCAATAGTGGACGCAATTCTGGACGGGGACAAAACGCGCCGTTCAGAAATACCAGGTAAATACGACGCGGCAGCTAAACTTTTTTCCTGCCGTCATTTATAAATCATCTCTCTGACGAGTGCGAAAGCACGAAACTCAGAGTAACAGGGAATCATTTGTGTTTCATTTTAGTCAGTTTGAATTGTATTTCGCTCTACACTCATGTACATTGAGCACTTTCTCGTAGCATTTACGACAATTTCCCACAATTGGATCTTCTCTTATTCATGACCGCACGTCCCTTAGATAGATCTCCTGTTTGATAGGACTTTTCCTAATTCAAGAACTGCTGCAAATTTTAAACAGATATGGACAAAGGCCGTTCTCTTTTAAGTCAACAACTTTTCACCGAAGTGGAGGTGGCTAGTCGTGGATAATTTCTGAGACGCGAGGTGGTGAGGCAAATATCCACTGCTGGCCACCGACACTGAGGTGAATAGTTGTTTTAGTTTATACTAAAACATTGAGATAATATAGCGAAAAAAAAAAAAAAAAACATGATTCTAACTAATTTATTCCTACATCGATTATTATATTTTCGGGCGCAAAACCCGGATTTGCACGCGTGGCCCGGAGATAATTAGCCAGGATATTCGAAGTTTCAGTGGCTATCAAAGCGCGCCTTCAATGCTGTTCACTATTTTAGTATATACTAATAATGCACATTGTGATTTTCCCCCTACTTTGGAGAATTCTATTGGTAACAAGATACAAACAACGCAATCTTTTTTTTCCAATCAATACTTCTTTTTCTATTTCAAGAAAACGAGGAAGATGAGTCGGAAAAGATGTCTAACACAGTTAGCAGGTTGATTCCTGGCACAAGCAATGTAGAAACGAATGATGAAATTAATGACAAGCAATATCTTACAAAGAAAAGAAGGAGTTTTATTCCTGTAGAAAACAAATTAGAAGAAAATTCAGTTTACGAACCAAAAGAACAAGCAGAGGATGCAGAGGCAGGAACCTCAGAAAGTGAGCTATCTGGCGGGAATCAGCCAGTGACCTCAGGAGATTCCGAGGATTCCAAAGAGCCTGAGAAAGATACCCAAGAGTCATTAGCTTCAGGAGAGGAAAACACAGGTATTACAAGTCAATGTTATTTTTTGTCTCATGTTCTATGAATAACGAAATATTTTACAATTATTCCACGAGGGCACATTAGGGTACAGGCATTGCGAAAAAATGCGCGCACCTACCAACTTTGTGGGATGTAGTATATAGGATCACATTACATGGCTTGTAAACCAATCAATACCCAGGTATTGTATTATGCCACAGAAAGTCCGTTACTGAGCCTGTGTCGAGGCTGTTTATAGTACATGGTAAATGACTTCTCCTTTGTACCGTTTTTATCCCTATAGAATTTTCCAAAAGAAGTGACATTCCAAAAATTTTTAAACCAGACGACGATGAATCGTTAGAAAGAGGAGAAGCTGCTGAGTCAATGGAGTCGAAACAGTCATCGCACGTGCCTTCAAGCGGATCTGGAGATGTTGCTTCATCCGACGAAGCTGAGGACAAAAACGGAACCTCTGAGTCTGCAAAAGACGTGGAATCATCTGGTGAAGCTGTAAAAAGAAACGTTATCCCAACAGAAGTATTTGAAGAGGGTAATAAAGTCGGGTTATTGAAAAAACTGTAAATTTGAATGCATTGTAATGTTGAAGAACTTTTCCAGGGTACCTTCAAGACAGAATCAAAGTAAAACAAGAGGCAGCGGCAGAAATTGTCTTTTATCAAAAGTATATATGTATGAAAATTATATCGCGACTCTCACTAATCATCTCTTGATTTCTTGGCAACCATTTGATTGATGACATGAGCTTTTCTAAACGTAACCATTACTGACATCATTTTCTGAAATTTAGGCAATGCCAAAGACAATGACGATGATGATGAGGAAGAGGAAATGGACGGGTCTGGTTCCACATCGGAATCTGCTGACTCCGAGGACTCCGAAGAATCCGGTGATTCTAGCCAGGGAGAGTCAGATGGAAACAAACCGGTAGCTTCAGTTTCCTCTGATCTACCCAAAAAAGAAGAACCAAAGAAGGTTGATGATGAAACAGCAACTTCAGTATCGGAAGACGAAAGTTCAGCTTCAGGTGAGTCTGGCGAATCAGGAGAGTCTGGTAATTATGATGAAAGTGGTGAATCGGGGGAGAGTGGAGAATCTGGGGAATCGGGTGACAACAATGAGTCAGGAGAAAGCGGAGAATCTGGGGAATCGAGTGACAACAATGAGTCAGGAGAAAGCGGAGAGTCGGGAGAATCAGGAGACAGTCTGGAGTCTAGTGAATCAGGAGAAAGCGACGATTCTGGTGATTCTGAGGAATCTGATGCTGAGTCAGATGTGGTGAAGAGAAACGAAATACCAAAGGAGGATGAAGGTAAGGTTTATAAGTCAATGCCCAGATTTCATAAAAATGAATTCATGAACTTATGGTAAAAATTATGATCGTTTCGTCTCTGGTACCATAAAACCACTTTTACCTTTTTTACTTCATCTTATCGTGAAGGGTATTTTGGGTATGTGTGTTTTTCAATTGACTTTTCGATTCTCATATTTTAAAACTGTTGTTGGGCGATACACGATAAAAACGAAAAAGGGTGCTCCTTAAGGGGGATCCTACTCAGTTCTACTACTTACTTTCTTAAATTCGTGCTTCATAGAAGCAAGCAAACAAAAAGATAGCGAGGAAAGCGGTGCCTCTGGAGAATTCAAAGAGGCGGTTGAATCGAACGAAATTGAAGATTCCGGAGAGTCTGGTGAGAGCGGGGAGAGTGAGGAATCAGGAGAATGGGGAGAAAGCGCTGCATCCGGAGAGTCTGGGGATAACGAGGAATCCGGAGAGTCTGGTGAATCGGCGATTAGCAAACGAAATGAGATTCCCAAAGAGCAAGGTAACCACACAGTTAAGTTTTTTGTAATGTGCACATAGTAAAGAAGGTCAAAATCTCATATATTGTACATGATAGGTCGTGTGTCCGGTGATTCTAAAATTTACAATTAGCTAATTCCCCTTAAATAATAGGGACCTTAAGCAGTCAGGACGGCAACGCCAAGGAAGACTTCGATCAAAAAATGAATTTGTACTCTTAGTTAGAATTTAAAAAATAGCTGTATGAGTTTACTGTCTCGTACGGCGCCACAGCTCAACCTCAGCATAACGTATAGAAGTAGCGTTGAGTTCTAAATGGAAATTAAATTAATTTGCCGTCGCGGTTTCGGTTCACAGACGACACAAATTTTGGCGATTTCAAGTTGTTGTTTTACATAGGACGGCTAAGAATTGTAGAAAGTTTCAAAACGCACGTGTTGAACTATTGTTCTGCCAATTAGATCTCTTGTTTTTTCACGTCCTCGTTGCCGTCGCCGTCACCGTCGTGGTTGCTTAAGGTCCCTAATTACTTGCCAACAAGTAAGACAGAAGCAGCAACCTCTGATTTTTACCAGATTGGAACGCATCCCACTCAACAATTGACAAGGGAGCACGTCATCGCATTTCGCATACCATGCCATATTTATAGCACGTTCCATTCTGCTCCTTGATCCCCCCTCTCTACCAATTTATTTGTTGTATATTTGACCGTCTTTGCTTAAGTGATAACGACAGGATCATATAGATCCAATCAAGAGTAACTGGCGAGTGGCAGCTATCGACAGACCAGCTAAGGACTGAGTATCGACGTATATTAAATTTTAGAAATGAAAGAAAACGACAAGTCAGGCGCGTCAGGGGAGTCTGGCGATGCTGCCGAGTCAGGTGCATCCGGTGATTTTGAAGAGTCAGGCGAATCCGGTGATTTTGAGGAATCTGGTGACGCAAGTGACAGTGCGGTATCTAAAAGGAGTGATATCCCTACGGAAACACAGAAAGGTAATTCATAGTTGTTTAACATGTCGATATCGTCAGCGATGGGGCTGCATTAAAGGAAAATGCCGATACAATCGATCTCCTTGGATCATGAAAAGAAACCTAACCTAAAAGAAAAGACAGAGTCAAAGGAACGTTGGTTTATTTTCGATTAAAACCTTTCAGGTTGTGAAACTCGTATACTGTCATTGATTTAATGATCAATTTATCATATTTAGATGTAAATCCTCTACGCTATTTATCACGCTGTTTTCCATTGCATTTAAAACGTTAGAAGTGATTTCCATGTCCCTATAATGCCATGATCAATATAATTATCATATTTAGATGTTAATCCTCTGCATTATTTATCGCACTGTTTTCCATGGCATTTAAAACGTTAGAAGTAGTTTCCGTGTCCGTTGCTTTATACATTAAACTTCCTTTTACGATTAAACAGCAATAAAGGAGATTTCAAAGGCAGCTGACAAATCTAGCAGTGGCAACTTACCCGAACAAGCAAAGGACAAAGAAACCAGCAAGTCTGAAGTTCTTTCTGAAAACAAAGAAGACAGCCAACCAGCTGAAACTGCTCAGACTGAGAAATTGGAACAAACCAAAGAGTCTGACCAATCAGGAGAAGCATCTGGAGAGGATAGTGAAAGTGGAAATTCAGGAGAGAGTGGAGAAAGTGGAGAGTCAGGAGAAAGCGGAGAAAGTGGCGAAAGTGGAGAAAGTGGAGAAAGTGGAGAAAGTGGAGAATCAGGGGAGTCAGGAGACAGCGAGATCACTAAGAGGGCCACAATTTCAAGGGATAACAGCGATGTTGAAAAAGGTGCAGCCAAACTAAGCAAACCAAACTAAGCTTAGAAGGCGAAACCCACTAAGTTCAAGATTACAAATTACACTGAGATGCCTATTTGAAGTAAGAGTCGCATAACTAAAGGATGACAGAGAGAAACGTTTTCTACAAATTTGCATCAAAATTAGACATAAATGGTAAATAAATGACTATCACAGTTACAGGTGGACCCAATAGTTTACATTGTGGGCCACAAAAAAAAAAATGAAAAAACTATGTATAATTGCTTATACCATGTAGAAGAAATATCATCATGAGAATTCAAGTGTGTGAAAATGAGTTAAAAAAAGTAGTTCAAGATAGCTAGTTAGAAAAAACAAAATGAATTAGGATGTTCAGGACTCGATTTGATGTTTAGGAACCTCTTGAACAAATATTTTTCGAAGTTGCTTTTCATTGTTATGTTGTTGATATTGTCGTGCAGACAGTTCCACAGGCGAGTCGCACTCGCAAGCAATGTTTGGAGACCCACGTTTCACTTGACGCACAGCTAAGGCAACAGTATCAACCGCACAATATGGAAGTATTCGAAATATCTATGAATTCATAAAAATGAGTTTGTGATTTATCATTGATAGACTCGAGTGGTTCTGGCGCGTTAGGAGGGACTTCCAGAGATCGTGACGAGTCCGAGGAATCGGGAGAATCAGGAGCCTCGGGAGAGTCTGGAGAAGGCGGAATATCAAAACGAAGCGAGATACCATCAGAAGAACAGAAGGAAGGTAAAATCAGCTTTATCTGCCGATTTCTTTTTAATGTAAATGTAAATTATGGCCACGTTGGGCTATAAGTCTCACAGAAATATTTTGATTGCATAATGAGAAGCGCCGAATAAGGTTAGATTGCAATTGTGAAATGAAGTAGTTATCAAAGTCAACCTATACAACCACTAATCCAATGGTATCTGATAATTTTACTCTAACATATTATGATATCGATATGCTTAAGATCAAAATACCGAGGAATCCGACGAGTCCGACAATTCTGGCTCTGAAGAGAGTGGAGAATCAGAGGAAAGTGGGGAATCTTGGGATAGCAGTGAATCTGGCGAAAGTGAGGAGTCTGGAGAGAGCGGCGAATCTGGTGAAAGCGGAGTGTCTGAAGAAAGCGGCGAATCCGGTGAAAGTGAGGACGCGGATGAATCGGATGAAAGCGGAGAAGCAACGATTTCAAAAAGAAATAAGATACCACAAGAACAGAGTGGTGGGTACATCGATCATAACCAATCATAAGCAAGGTTTTATCACGGGTTCCTTTAAAATAATGGCGTTTAGTGCTTATTAGGTCCATACGTCATTCAACTTTGTTTGAAATGTCTTTATAGTGTGTCTATGAATTCCGAAAAAGATGGGCTTAGTGTTAGTTTTAGGGCAGGTTCAGATCAAATAGTCTGACATGACTCACTCCGCAATAATTTAAGGTTTTGCATTATAGCATGGTATCCTCCAGTTTATCGGTGATCCTGCGTGCTAGAGGCCATTTCAGTCTCTTCACATGTCTAAAACCTGCACTAAACAATTGTCTTTGTTGCAGTTTTTCCAGACTACGAAGACGCTGAAGGCTTTGAAGAATATGAAAATTCTGAAGAAAGCGGAGAGAGTGGAGAGAGTGGAGAAAGCGGAGAAAGCGGAGAAAGCGGGGAGAGTGGTGAAAGCGGAGAGAGCGGAGAGAGTGGGGAGAGTGGAGAGAGCGGAGAAAGCGAGGAGAGTGGAGAGAGTGGAGAGAGTGGAGAAAGTGGAGAGAGTGGAGAGAGTGGGGAGAGTGGAGAGAGCGGTGAATCAGCTGACGGAGGTGTTGCCAAGCGAAGTGATATACCCAAGGACCAGCAAGGTATGTGCAAATTGGCTCATATGCTGACTATTCGCCTACAACAAACTGGAAATTGCATCAGGAGCCTATTTTAGTATGAGATGAACTATTCATTCCAGACTTCTCCGCAGCAGGTTTGTGGATGTGGTTGCCACATCCGTAATCAGAAGTGTTTAATAACTGGTGGTCTCATTGTTATTGCAGAATCCAAAGCTTCATCTGGATCAGGAGATTTACCTGAGTCTTCAGCTGAATCCGATGAGTCTGGCGAGTCAGGCAAGTCTGAGGAGTCTGGTGAGTCCGGCAAGTCTGGCGAGTCCGGCGAGTCCGGCGAGTCCGGCGAGTCCGGCGAGTCCGGCGAGTCCGGCGAGTCCGGCGAGTCCGGCGAGTCCGGCGAGTTCGGCGAGTCCGGCGAGTTCGGCGAGTCCGGCGAGTCCGGCGAGTCCGGCGAGTCCGGTGAGTCCGGCGAATACAAGAGAAACTTCATCCCGAGGGAAAGCGACGCTGAAGATGACGATGACGACGATGAAGACTCTGCCGTGGAAAGTGAAAGCAAAGAACAAGATTCCTCTGAAGGAGAACAAGAAGGGAGTGGTTATCAGCATGCCAGCACAAGAGGAGAAGTAATCACTGAAACCATGGGTGACATCGCTAAAGCTGCACTGGACAACAAAATTGAACGAAAGTCGGACATTATCCACAGTTTACCGCAAAACACCGAAGAGTTCCGGATCACTGACAACGAAAGAAAATCACAAACAAAAGACAAGAAAACTGGTGCAGCTCTTAAGAATTTGTTCACTGCTCTGGCAGACGGTGAAGCCCATGCGTCAGGCTCAGGAGAAGAATTCATTTTGAAAAAAAAGGCTCAAACTACAAACTTGGATAAAAGGGTAAGTACATGCTACAGTTTGGGTTTTTTGAGATAAAAGTATCTTTGAACATCTCTTTTATAGTCTTTATCTTACAAATTAATTGTCGGGGCCTAAGTCCTGTAACAATAACACGAAAATAATATGTATCATCTGCTAACTCAAACGATATAGAGCCACCAAACGTAACGCACAAGAGCAGAAAGACCATGGTGACTAAGAGGCAACATATCACCATGAATTTCTCAGAGATCATTTTCAAAGTAGCTATAGCGAGCTGTATCGGTCAAAAATGAGGGTATTCTAGCTGTTTCCACAATGTTTCGTAACCTCTCTTTAGAAGGAACCGGCGATTCATTCAAACTGTTAAAAAATGAAATGAAGGGTGGTTTGTGTAACTTAGTTAGAGAGCTCACCATTAGCCACAACCGACCAGACTTGGTTATTAATGCAGAGAGGTTCGTTATAACTTGGAATTTTCTGGCCGAGTTGTTCACTTCGTGGACTGTATGCATTTTTCCGCTTTGGGATTATGTGGGGAATCAAGATGAACTCTAGCGAAAAAAAGTAATTTTGTTTTATCAACTGAGTTGATAATGTACCACTAAAAGAGTTCCAAAGCTGACGTTTCGAGCGTTAGCCCATCGTCAGAGCAAATGTACAAAAAAGACCCATTTAGACCAGTCGGGTGACCAGTTTTTACGAATGATAGGCCCTCTGTGATATTCGTAATAGTTTTCTATCAGAAAGTTTATTTTATTACTGCATTATTTTAAGGTGCCTTCAGAAACAAATGGGATAAAGAATGCTTTGGACGAGATCTGGAAACAAGGTAAAACTGGAACCTTTTGAAAATCGTATGAAAAACAACAAAAAAAGAAAACTCGAGAGCTGAAAGTTTCGGTAAAAAGGACATCATAGAGAATAGATACTAGTACTCCAAGCACGTTTAACTAAACCATGAGACAAATAACTCGAGACAGAAGAATATCGACTGAAAAGGCTAACACTTCAAAGTTCACAGTTTTCAAATAACAATTCAAAGTTCACACTTTTCAAATGATCTGTAGATAACGGTGCTCTCAATGATGCCGAATCAGCAAATATCAACCTTGAGGAGAAAGAAGAATTTACACAGGTAAGGAACCCAGGTATTATTGATGCATTAAAGTGAAAGCGTTGAAAATAATAGATACTATTTCTTTTCATTGTCAACCAACTCGTACTGCGAAAATAACCTTTTTCCTCTCTCTGTTTTCAAATTGAAAGCTCGCAGCCACTTTAAAAAGTTCGCTTCCTTCAAAGGACTCTGAAAAGGTCACGGAAGTCGATAAAGGTAGGCTTCTAGTCATATGTTGTTCATATTCTGTGGTTGTAACTTTAGAAGGAAATTTGCTCTAGCTAGTAGCAAGTTGGGCTGGCAGTTCCTGTCGCTCTCTCTCTCTGCCAACATATCCCCTCATTGCCCCTCTCTATTGTGAAGCATCCTGGGAAGTGCGTGTTTTAATGGTTTTTAATTAACACGTCGTAATTGTGAAATTCAAATGAAATGTACTTAGAATATGTCCATATGAAGAAACCCAATATTCGTCCAATTCCATCATCGGTTGAGCAGCATCAAATCCAACATCAATTTGTGGAGTAGAGCCAGCTGGGCGTCGTCATCGCTAGTGCGAGCATAGCTATAGTACGCACAGTTTCTTCTTCATAAGGAAGTGCAATAATGGTACACATAAATAGAATAGAAAGATGGTAAGTTTTAAGCTCTGTAAACAACAACAACAACAACAACATCATTATTTATAATCACAATTTAACTTCTAGATTAAGTCTACCTGCAATATAGCGAAGCTAATCGAGGGCGGTAGTATGAGAAACGTGTCAATTACATATTAAGAATAACATTATTCTAATGACAAAATATAAATAACAATTACAAAGGTACAGATGTCAATTACAAAAAAGTGAATACAAAAATATAGGCATACTCATTACGAAGCCACGAGCAGATAATTTAAAACAGGAAAAGCTCAAAATACTCTTTATTTGAACGAAATCTAGTTTCATGTCATTTCACTCATTAATGTATCAATATCAGGATAAGAATCCTGGTTTAGAAGAATTTGAAGTAAAGATTCGGTTATTTTTTTCGTGAAACTATATTTTGGGAGCTGTCCCAAAACATCAGGAATACAGTTCCAAATTTTTGCGCCCATAGAGGAAAAAGAATTCTTATAGTGATTTGGTCGAGAGTAGTTTATATAGAAGTTACCAGCGGTAGAAGATCGTGTGTTATAATGATGAGCTTCTTTAATGGGTCTAAAGAGAGCAGAAATGTTAGATGGAACGACTTTGTTATAGACATCATGCATTAAGATAGAGCAATTTTTAAAGTTGATTAAAGGTAAAGGCAGAATATTGGTAGAGATAAAAAGTGGAACAGCGTGAACATTAAACTTAGAGAAATTCATTAAGCGGACTACCCGTTTTTGAAGGAGTATCTTGTTTAGGTGCGTTTTGGCTGCCTGTCCCCAGGCAGTAAGGCCATAGGAGATACATGGAAGAATAAGAGATCTGTATATATTAAGGAAAGTCACGAAGGGATTGAAATGCCTTAATCTAGATATTATACCTATATGACTACTGATCTATGACGCGATGTGGCTGATATGATATTTCCAACAGAGATTACTTTCCATTAGTACCCCTAAGTACTTAACATAAAGAATAAAGAAAGATGTTTTTCATCTAGTCACGAGCGTGGGACAAAGAAAAGTTCTGAGTTCCTATTTGTAATCGAACCTTAGACTCTCGGATTCCGCGCTCCGATGCTGAGACTCCAGGTACGCGTCCTGCATACTGCTGACCAGTTATCATCTTTCTATTCTACTATGAACCTCGTAATAAGCCTCGCTGACCAGGGAATCTCTGTGGCTCAGTGGTAGAGCAACGGTGCGCAAAATCCGAACGTCTGAGGCTTGATTCTTCATGGGTACTCAAACTTTTTTCTATGTCCCTCGTGACCATAAGAAAAAACATCTTTCTCTCATGGTACACATATTTTTTTTTTCATAAGAAAGTAGTTTCTGAAAAGATTTTGACCAGGCGAACATTTTGTAGGAGTAGAGGACAGATAGTTTCTCGCATAGTTCACGTACACTTTAACTATTTATCTTTGTAGATGTGGAGGCATTAGAGGGCTATGCTGACGCTCTTACTGAGGTTGGAGGTTTGACACCCGAACATCATAAAGCTATCGCTACAAAACTTGCCTTAGACCTCATGGAGGACCTCAACATTGATAAAAAGGAACGACCTGATCTATTGAAAAAGGAGACAGCCTTCATCAAAGATGCAGAGATCGCATATGTCAAAAGTAAGTTTGATTGGCCAAGAATTGTGTGCCCAGACGCACGCCAATTGCTCGTTTCACAGCAGACGTAATTCATCTTTAATAAGTACGATAAAGGTTTACCAAGAGAAATTGTATACTTTGCCTGTGACTTCTCTCCCTACCGAAAGATAGATAGATAGATAAATAGATAGCCTTTATTTTAAAACGATGAGTGTTAAACCTACGTGAGCTTGTATGGTCGTTTGCAATTAACTAATCGCTAAATGAACTAAAAACTAAAACCTAGGGGAAGGTAGAGAACGTCTAAACTTAAACCAGCGATGCTTACGAATGTGGAATTGTAAACATAAATTTAAATATATACAAAGTCATCTTTTTTAAAATTACAAGGGGATGCAGACGTTATCTTAAAACAGAATTCAATAAAATCAACTAGGCCGCTCCTGGTTTGAGTTTTTGGGGCGTGAGCAGTTATATGGAACTTGGGCCGTGCTACTGTCGCCCTTCTGGGTGGTTTTAAGCTTTTGTTATCAATTGGATTCTGATTTTATTTTCATTCTTCGTTATTAGGTAGGATCACCGAAGTCAAACAAGAAATGATAAAGTTTGCCCAAGAGCATCCAGGTGATAAAGAAAGGATTCGCGCAGAGGCAATAAAAAGATTGGAGGATATAGTCGATAAACTTCCCCTGAGTAAGGCAATCATTGAAGCCCAAGAACACAAACTAAAGAGATCCCCGATGCTCCAGCAAATTGTTGCATCTACAAGCAAAAGAGAACTGAGGGACCGAATCAGAAGAGCCTTGGCTGATTTTATTGCCGAGGACGTCGCATAAACTCAAAGTGGGGCAGAATAATGACTAAGGCCACGAAAAGCCTTCAAATCGGGCCATAAATAAAGTCATGTGCACATAGGGTCCAAGCTACAAAAGTGACATTTAGTTTATTATGTTGGCATGAAATGCGTTTGTATAAACAGAGCTGATACAAAAGGCTAGACATCTTTAGTTCCTTCATAATCACAATTATATTCATTCAACCAACCATTCCTTGATCATTACCTAAAAAAAAATTGTAAAAGTTGATTTTGTTTGTTGATTGATTCCGAAACATGCTGTGGGTTTCTCTTCCCATGGAATTACAGTTTAACCTTTTAAAATTATATTAATTGTTTAAAGCATTTTGATTTAGGTCTTTTATAGACCTCTACTATCACAGAAAACTCGACGACATTCTCATAACAAGGACTTTTGGTATGGTTGATAAGGACAATAGGCCAAGCAGGGCCCGATGACGTCATTGTACAAGTTTGCAAAGAATGCAGGGAATAAAAACTCGAACATTTCAAGATGTGGGGAGTTTAATTTATTAATTATTAGTATAAGTTCAAGCCCTGTACAGATAGATAATAAACGAATAAACGACTAAGTAATTTTAACCAGCTAAATTGATTTGTAGCTCTATGGTTAGGTAACTAAAGATTGTAAATTTGATCTATGGATGTAAATAAATTTCTGAAAACAAGCAATCAGGCGTCAAAAGTTATATTCAGACGATCAATGTATTTCCCATACGACACACACTTCGCCTAAGATAATTTACCTACTAATAAAAATCTTCTTTAGCATGTTGTTTGCATTGGTAATCATGAGCAACATTTTTTGTACATTAACAGTGGAATGAACTTGGTAAGGGTAAAAATCACCGCAAGGAATTTTTAAAGCTTTCAAAAGTGACTGAACTACTGTGGCTAACTCCGCAGAGCTACCTTTAAATTCTAGTTTATCTCTGGCCCGTATAGATCGGCCAATGTACGAATGAAAAGTCCTTTTATTATCAAGAAAAAAATGAAACATTATGCTACACAAAATTTGGGGATTGACAAATCCAGCAGCACATTTCTCATCAGCTGCCAAATTCTCTGACGTCATGCATCAGTCGGCCCGGGACGGCCAGGAAATCGATCCAAACTTTTCCTTTTTTAACATATGTTCGACTGTTCATACACATTTTGTTATGAATATTAACTTACATAAACTTCCTTGCAGTAGCGCTATCATAACTTTACTGAAATAATTATTTCTAGAGTTTACATCAGATTTTTTATGTCTATTTTGCGTCCTTTACATTTTACCACCTTAAAATCACGTGTACTTTTATTACCAATATTGTTATAATATATGTGTATAAGGACTTTTTATAATTTTTGGATGCAGGTCCACATCAGCCCTTGGCTGCCATATTATGTATCATAACCTGCTTTATCAAATAAACGTATGTATGTATGTATGTATCATTACATTATATTACACTACTGAACTTCTTTCGATGTCATTTAAGAAATTCATCCTAATACATACTTATTACATTATTTGCTGTCAAATTTGAAAGCAAAGCCATCAACAGAAGCATATACATGCTTGCACCTATCAGAAAGGCATAGATAATACAAGGTAGCGTGACACTTCGCCGAGTGCGTGACATATTTCGCCGTAACGGACCATGGTTAGCAGGGAGGGGCCATTTTCTGTACGCAGCTCGACGCTCAACTTTGTCACGTTTCCTGAAATACAAAAAATTGCCATGGCAACTAATTATGGTTAAAACACAACAGTACTTCTCACAATCACTGACCCACAAATCGACGTACTAAAGGCGGATTCCACACATTCGAATTAACCAAAGCTTTTTGGGGGAGACACGTTCAACAAATGTTTGGTGCGCTGGAATTGTGTTCTTAGGCAAAACACTATTTTCTCACAGTGCCTCACGGTGAACAAATGTTTGGTGCGCTGAAATTGTGCTCTTAGGCAAAACACTTTTTTCTCAGAGTGCCTCACGGTGAACAAATGTTTGGTGCGCTGGAATTGTGTTCTTAGGCAAAACACTTTTTTCTCAGAGCGCCTCTCTATCATCAGGAGTGTAAATGGGTACCGGCAAATTGTCATGAAAGCCTGATAAATGCTGAGAGGGGCGGGGGAAGGGTAACTTGTGATGGACTAGCATCGCACCCTGGGGGAATTAGGTAGTGGTACTTTCAATCGCTTTATGCTAGGGAAACCAGGATAAGGTCTGCCTGGGTCAGGGACACTTGGCTCGACTACAGATTTAAACCATTTTTTTTTTTACTTTTGGTCAAGGACGAGCCAAGTAGCGAGAGCCATCACGTTTGTTAAATATCCAAGATCGTCGCTTGTGCTCTGACCGATGATCATGGACGATCAAAAACCTTGTTAAGACTAACGACTGGATTGTATCTTACCTAAGTAGCTGGGGATCATAAGTCCGCCTAATCTCGTTCCTTAGTTCTGTTAAAATTTGGAGAAAAAAATTCACATCCCAGTTAGTAAATGTGTCTTAAAAGGTAAGCGCAATGCTAGGTACTTAGGTAATGAAATCTGATTCAAGTCTGTTCACAGCCGTGTAACTTAACATACAAAGTGAACACGCAAAAACAGGCGTGAAGAGTACAGCAAATGATCTCCATTTTCGTGAGCTCCAGATTGTCAATTAGAACTGTCCTTGTCAGCACTATGGGAAATGTGAAGAAAACAGTGTGGAGAATAGAAATACTACCGCCAGAGTGTAAAGGGTTGAGGCTTTTTACCTGTTGCTGGTGTTAATTGTTCGACTATTTGCCGGCACAAAGGGCACCTTATTGAGCCTCTGTTACTGGTCCTGAAGTTTAACTGACGTAGGCATGGATCACAGAACACGTGATCGCATGAACATTTAAAAGGCTCATACAGCAAATCCAGACACACAGCGCAGCAGTGGTGATCTTGGATTTCAACAAAAGTAGTCTACAATTTTAGAAACAGCAAACAAGATTCAGTGATCAGTGGTCCACTGTGTGTCTTCCTGTCAATTATCTCTATAACTTGACCTTCTCATGCTTGGCACAAAAAGAAAAGTTAGTGAGTTTTGAACCTGCTTTGTAAATGTTAAAGAGATGAATTAAACTTTAAGTTAAGAAAACAGTGAATAAGCTTGCAAAACTAAAACCAGTATATGGCATGATAATGACTTTAAGGTCAACAGCTGTAATTCAAGTATTCTTTGTTTTTCTAAGCTTACTCCAGCTCTTATTAGAATAAAAAGCTACCCTCTATCAAGACTAGTTTCACTTGTGTGCAACAAAGAGAGCCATATATAATTGAGGTACAGAGTACGTGATGTTTACCTTGTTCTCCAATGTTTTATATGAAGGCTCACTGGAGCCTTCATCAACATGCAAGCAACTGTAGTATGTCATTTGATCTGAAAAATGGCAAATGGATGGCTTCTCAGCTCCCCTCTGGTCAGTTAAGATGTCTGGTAAGTTACTGTCTTCCACTGATATTTGATGCCTTCCCTTTCTTTTCCTCCTGGATCTCTGCACATACATGTAAGTTTCCCCATTGTCAATGATGTCATTTGCTCCCCTTGTGTTTGATTTCAACACTGTGACTTTAGAGCAATCTGAATGCTGAGCAAAGCCAAATCTACATGTATGCAAAGGCAGTAACCTCTGTGTCTCATTGTGTATGGTGGCTGATGAGGTTTCTGCTTCCGTAGAACCAGAATGATTCCCATGTAATCTGATACTGCAACATTGTTGACAGTTATGAATGGGACATAACTCAGCTTGATGAAAAGCATTTGAACAAATATCTTGCTGCACACTACATGTTGCCACATCACTCTCTGAGATGACACACTCACATGCTAGAATTCTGAGAGACTTGGGTATGTTTTCCATTGTGACATTTGATGTTGAATGACTTGTAGGTGTTTCTTTGTCATCGCAGTGCTTTATGTCTACAATGTAAAATGGAACAGTTGTGCAATCAATTCCTTTTGCCTGCAATTTACAAGCATACAAAACATGTGTCAGCAACTGCTCTGTTGCAAATTAAATTCATTCTGCAAAAAACTGCAATTTTCAAGTATTCAGTGCAAAAAAATTTTCTATCAGAGTTTGGTTTGCTTGCTGGTATGTGAGCCAGCATTTCATGTTTTAATGTCAATTCCCATGGCAAAACCAACCACTACAAATACTTCAAATTAAGATCATATGATTTAGTACAATTACCAGAAAATAACTCTCATCTTTGAAAATACAATACAGTCCGTAAGAACATAATGATTATAACTGATATTTCATATGCACCTACTGTATGCTCACCCTTCCCCTCACTATCCACAAGTCTGCCATTGGTATCCACTGAAAAACCTGAGGATGACTCAATCTGTGTAATGTCTGTATTTGCCCTGGGGTCTGTGTAGTCAAACTGACTGATATTTCCAACACAAGATTTTGCTTTGTTTTGTTGTGGTTCTTCATTTTTGTCAAAAGAGTTCCTTGTAGACTGATCGAAAGGTAACAGTACTGTAGGGTTCCTAATATCAAGATTTGTTATCTGACTTGTAGGAAATATAAGATCAACTCTACTTTTTTGAATCCAGACAGCTGGAATAATAAACTTTCCGCAGTTACAGTGTATTCCATGAATAAAGTCAAAAGCTCCTATGCGACTCTTGCACTTAGGACAATACAATTTTCCCTCAGTCCATTGAGCCTGTAACAAAATCAAAGATAAAATATTCAATCCTGTAAAAACTAACCCCCCCATCCCAATTAGGATTCAAACTTAAGACCATCTGATTTCCCAGTCTAGTTACACAAACACTGCCTTGAAATTTTAAGGTTTGAGGTCTAAATCCTTGAAAAGATCACAATTTTTTCATCCTACATTGGTGACAAACTTTTGGCATGCTTTATAAATTCAAAGAAAACTAAGCTTTAAATTTCACATCTTTCTTAATCTGCTGGTTAGCAAGAAAATATAGTACAAGTGACTAGTTGAGAAATCTGACTTTTGGTTTGATTCCATCATGAAATTACTGATGAACGACAACAGTTGAACACTGATTTGCATTCACATAGTTAGTTTTAAGTTCTTAACCCTTTAACCTTAAGAGTGACAGCATCTAATCTCCTTACAATTTCAGCCCTGATCCATGCACTAAGGCCTTATGAGAATTAACAAAATGATCACTATGATGTACTTGGCCAGCAGTTGTCTTACATGCATGCGCATTGAAAGGCAGCTTAACTGGGACAGCCGCCATGTTGGGGTTTGTTATGTTGTTCTTTTAATTTAGTTTAATCCATCTCTAGCATATTAATGAATAGTAGTACTAGAACTGAGTGGGATGCAATTTGGTCTAAAACAAGTCATACGTGTGACTTCAAAATCAAATGAATACACAACACTGTAAGTCTGATTTGAAATCACAAGTATGATTTCAGACCAAAACAAGGCACAAGGTTCAATTACCACTTTATTACATCCATTATCAAATCCCAAAATTGAGTTGTTCAGCTTCAAGATTTTTCATTCTGTACAAATGTTTTATTGATCCAGTAGTGAGCTGGTTTGTAGAAAGTTTTAAAGTGGTTTTTCATTTTCCTGCAATTTGGTTGGTTGTAATTTATGAACGCTTCCTCATTGGCGGGGAAAAAGATGTCATGTTGAAGGAAAAATGATGTGTTTCGGGAATAAATCGCACCATTTAGAACCAGTCAGATTACAAGGATCACCAGTGATTTCAAAAGGGATGTAATACAGACACAAACGAAATAAATGGTCCATCTAAGGGCATGCAATGTCAGTAACTGCCTCTTTTACTTCCAAGTAGCTTGCTGAGTTACAAAACTTCCAGAGCTAACTAATGAAACTAAAACATACCTCTTCCACACTATCATGGACCCAAGGAAGCATTTCTTCGTCTTCCAAGAACCAAGAAGAACATTTTTCGTGACTAAACAAATCTTTTTGACCTGTTCCAGGACCGTCCTCTTCTCTTTGATCTTTGTGAGATGCAAGTTGCGCGGAGGAAAATAGATTCATCCGACACTTTCTACAACGAAATGATGAAACTTCGTCCATTGTATCAACATATGTGTTTCCCAAGTTTTAGCAGGGCAAGGCTTACCCAGTTTGGCTACGGAGTACCAGAAGGTCCGAAATCGTTGTAGTGAGTGATTCCCTCGTGAGTCGATTGCGATTTCTGAGCCTCATTGATTAATGTCAGCGGAAGTTACAGAGTAAAAGATGGCGGACGGAGGTAAAGGGAAAGAAGAAGACAGAACAAGGAGGAATTTCTCAGCTGAAGAGAGTCACCAAGAAACTGATGACGAAATATTAGAGAGACAATATTTTTGGAAAGTCGTGGAAGCATTTCTATATTACAAGTAAGTTCCTTAAGTAACCGAAAAATCAATGAAAGAATGAACAGATTTTCGTCTTTGAAGGCTCGAATCTACTTGGCAAATTTCATCTTGGTTTGTTCCTACCTATTTTAATACCAGCATAATCCTGCGTTTGAAACGAATCCCTGGTTGATTAAATTTAGTTTAATGATGAAGTTTTTTGTTTTATATTCTTAGGGATTTTTCTCTACGGAAGCTGCAAAGGGTCAAGACGAACTTCAAATTACTTCCTAAAAGACATCGGGAAATGCTTCCAAATTATAAAGATCATATATTAAAAATAGAGAAATGTATTGAGGAGAATCAGAAGTTCTTATTCGATATCGTCAGCCACACCAGTGAAATGTTTGAAAATAGAAATCATGCAAGAATTCCATCAGTAAGTATTTATAAGACTGGTACAACCTGTATTTGAATTATATTTTAATAATTTGCTCCTAAGCATCCAGGTTATTACGTTAAGATTATCACTGACATGGCTGTGACTAAAAGTGGGATGGGGACGTAGGACATGGGACTCAGAGACGTGGGACTCGGGGACACCGGCACTTGGGAACATGGGATGTGAGGAAGTCGGGACTCAGTGATGCGCAGGGACTCAGGGATGTGATAAACAAACAATACTTGATTTTTGTGCTGAATCTGTAAAGTATAATTTTCGGTGGCCTTGAGAAAGGTATTATACTACTGAAACAGGTAGATTGCTTTTCTGGAGACACGCATAATGTTAGTGACAATAGTGATCATTTTTGGTCATGCGACTTAAAAACGATGTTAACACAAAAGGCAAATGCACATGATAACATTCCTTCACATTTCTTTATCTGCACTTTTTTTGTCTTGTTACCGTGGATCACTCCTAAGATAAAGCGTGAAATGCATAAAAAAGATCGCCTCCACAGAAGAACTGTTCGAACAAAAGACCAACATCACTGGAAAGCTTTCAAACACCAACGTAATTCCATGTCCAAACTCATTGAAGACTCCCACGATTCATGCTTAAAGGACATTATTGGTGATAGCCTTACAGAAAACCCAAAAAAGTTCTGGTCTTATAAAATACAGCAGATCAGAGAATCTTGGTATTCCACCTCTCAAGACTGAACAAGGTGTGTTTGTTACAGACAAAGATAAAGCTGAAACCTTGAATTCCTACTTTTTTTCTGTTTTCACAAATGAACAATTACCTTTACCTAAAATTCCTATATCTCCTTACTCTTCGATTGCTGACTTACAAATATCACCCGAAGGAGTTGCTAAACAACTATCCCACCTTAACCCTAACAAGGCATGCGGTCCTGACGAATTGCCTGCACATGTATTGAAAGAGATATCTCAATCTGCTTCTGTATGGCTTGCTTTCATTTTTCAGCAATCACTTAATCTCAACACGTTCGCTTCAGATTGGTCCAAGGCCCTTATCACTGCTGTTTATAAGAAAGACAATAAATCTCTTCCCTCAAATTACCGGCCAATCTCTTTAACCTCTATATGCTGTAAAGTAATGGAGCACGTTGTGCTCAGTCATATGGGCAAACACCTGTCTAAAAATAACATCATTATCAACAAGCAACATGGCTTTAGACAGTGTTTTTCCTGCGAAACCCAATTGATAACAACCATACACGACTGGGCCAAATCTATTAATGTATGCCGCCAGACTGATGCTATCCTGCTGGACTTCTCGAAAGCTTTTAACTCGGTGCCCCATCAAAGGTTACTGCTGAAATTGGACTATTACGGTATTAGAGGAAATTTGCTGTTATGGATAAAGGCCTTCCTGTCCAACTGTTCTCAATTTGTCTCCATAAATGGCACTCAATCTTCTCCCAAGCCTGTTTTGTCTGGGGTCCTGCAAGGTTCAATTTTGGGGCCAGTGTTGTTTCTGCTGTATATAAATGAGATTACGAACTGTATAAATGCTAATTGCGTCTTTTTGCTGATGACTGTATTTTATACAGAGAAATTCAAAGTTCACAGGACTGCTTGTCTTTACAGAACAACCTGGACCAGTTATCTTCATGGTCAAAAAGTTGGCAACTTTAACGTTAAAAAATGTTATCATCTTGGAATAACATGTAAAAAGTTCTCAACCCTGTTTCAATACACTTTAAATGGTCTGCATATCTCCAAAGTTATCTCTACAAGGTACCTTGGTGTCACGATATCAAGCAATTTAAGCTGGAATAATCATGTAGATAATATTTGCAAAAATGCTAACTCAACTCTAGGTCTTTTGTGTCGAGTGCTGGGTGGATGTAGCCATAAAGTTAAAGACACGGCATACCGTACTCTTGTAAGGCCTAAACTTGAATATGCGTCCTCTGTATGGAACCCGTATAGGCAGCAGAACATATTTAAGCAAATTTGAATCTGTCCAACGAAGAGCCGCTCGATTTGTCTTTAACGACTACTCGCGTTATAGCCATGTTACACCTATGGTACAAAGTCTTGGCTGGGATTCACTCCATCACCGAAGACTTCTTTCACAAGGCACTATGTTCTATAAAATCTATATGGGCCACGTTGGCATATCACTCCCATCTGATGTCACACTGAATGAAAGACCATCAAGAGCTCCAAACTGTCGTCCTTTCAAACAATTGAAAGTGAATAATGATATCTATAAATATTCTTTTTATCCAAGGACAGTAGTTTTGTGGAACAATATATTTCTAAGCTCTTCTAACATTGTTAATTTAGATATATTTAGATCAAATGCTCTTTCATTTATTAGGTCGGTTTAGCCCGTACTAATTTTATCTTTACACTATCTATATTATTTTGTTTTATCCAAGTTTTGTTTTATCCAAGTTTTGTTTTTCTTATATTGTTAAACCTTAAACTGTATATAAATTATTTCAATTTTATTCTTTGTAATTAGTCCTCCTAGTATAGTTATTACTGTTTTAGGAGTATCTCGATCAAAGATCTCCAGTCGATTAAAGATTAAAGGTCTGTTTTAGTTTATCCACTTTCATTGAGTAATCCAACATGTTCTGTAATATTTCTTTTCCGGAAAATCGATGCGAGCTATTTACAACAGATGAAACCGAGGTGTCTACCTTCGATGATCTGATGATGATGATGATGATGATGATGATGATGAACTTTATTCAGTAAATGGTTTGAACCTGGGGGTAACATGTGAAGGTGTAGTCTGATTGTCCGGGTGAGTGTAGTCCTGAGAAGGACTGTTGTTGGTGGTAGTGACTGACGTTTCGACAACCTGTGCGGAAGTCATCATCAGAGTCAAGTTCACTTGACTCTGATGATGAGGAGGAATAGTCTGAACCTAACTAAGATATAACTAAGAATCATGCACTGTAAACCAAGCAGCCCACACAGTCACCATTGTCCATTGACATTTCCAAATCCATTCCTCTAACTGCCCTCTTAAAACCCGCTAGTGAATTCAACGTCCTAGTACGGGAAGGTAGCTTAGCCCATAGCACAGGTCCTAAATACCTAAGGGAATGCCTGCCATAATTAATAGGGTTAAATCTTGGAATAGTAAATTTTTTAACTCTTAAGTTATACACTGTGTGATTTGCTGAAAATAAATCTTGTATATAGCTTGGTGCTAGCTTAAATTTTACTTTATACATGATGGTCGCTGTATCTTGCAATCTACAGTTCACTAGGGTGGGCAATTTAGCCCATTCTAACGACTGCCTATAGTTAGCGTTCCAGTCACGGAAAACTGCCCTAAGACCCCTCTCCTGGACATGCTCCACTTTTCTTGCATCACTTCCCCTACAAAAGTGCCATACAGTACTGCAGTAAGTCAAATAGGGCAAGACTGCAGCCTTATACAGCTGAAGCTTAGCAGTGGTTGGTATCAAGTTGCGCAAACTTGTCATTACTCCCACTCTCTGACTAGCTTCTTTGCAAATCTCACTTATATGGACATTAAAAGTCAATTGAGAATCAATGCCTACACCTAATAATTTAATGTTCTGATAGTGGGAAACTCTTTTACTGTCTATGTCAATATTGATATTGGCATCTTTTTGCTTGCTAATGAGCATGCTACCATATTTGGTAAACTTTCCCTGTAAACAGTTCTCTTTATACCAACTTGTTGCTGCAACTGCACTCTCCTTTAATCTTGTTTGGATTAACTGGACATCTTTACTTGCTTTGAAAAACTGGCGATCATCCGCATACATGGAGATATTCGACTTCATTACATAAGTCAGATCATTCTGATAAAGATTCCACATCAAAGGCCCAAGAGAAGAGCATTGAGGGCACCTCTTACCACCTTCCTCCATCTGCTTGTTCCTTGTTGTGTTCCCTAGTTTCACTCTTTCTTGGAAATTTTCAAAATATGATGCCATGAGTTTGAGGCTGACATCATCAAAACTGTATGCTCATAGTTTAGCCAGCATGAGTGGTGGGAACAGACAATCAAACTCCTTACTCATATCTGTTGACAACACACCAACACACTCCCCATTGTCCAATGAGTGCCTCGAGCTCTCAGTTAGGTATAACAAGGCAGTCTCGCAACTGTTCCTCTTTCTATATGCAGTCAATTGGTCACACAGGTGATTATTATAGTTACCAGTGATTTGGGAAGAAAGGAGTTGCTCAAAGATTTGATTAATAACAATTTGCACAGTCACAGGACAATAGTTTTCTTTTTGCAGTTGATCATCTTTCTTCCTGATTCAAATTGTAAGGAATAAATGAGAGTGTTTACTGTTTGTTCCCGAGGAAAAATAGTGCCGATTCAGTACAAAGACAATGAGGATACTTTTGTTGTGAAATAATCGCAACTAGTGTCCGTTGTTGTTAGTTCGCATCAATCTTCCAGAAAGAAAGTAAAATAAATTGTAAACACTCTAATTTATTAATTCTTCATCAGGAATAAATTGTAAACAATGGAGTTCTACTGAATCCACAATTCTTCATCAGGAATAAATTGTGGACACTCTAATTTATTCCTTATGATTTGCATCAGATCATAGAAGGTAGACACCTCAGTTTTGTCCATTGTTGCTAACGACAACTGTTACACACGTCTCCAGAAAAACAGTCAACCTGTTTCCGTAGTATAATACCTTTCTTGAGACCACCAAAAATTACACTTTACAAATCAGGTGTTGTTTGTTTATCACATCTCCGAGTCCCTGCGCGTTGCTGAGTCCCAACTTCCTCGCGTCCCATGTCCCCGAGTCCCGGCGTCCCTGAGTCCTGATGTCCCCGAGTCTCAGAGTCCCTGAGTCTCATGTCCCCAAGTCCCCGTCTCACTTTTAGTCGTAGCCTACTGACATGGTGACTTGAAAGTAAAGGCCTTAGACCAAGTACGTAATTTATGACAATTTCATGTTGCAAGTTTGTCTTGTTCATGAGTGGTGTGTTTAATTATATTATCCTAGGAAGGATCTAGTGCCACTTAGTTATCTCCAAACTAATGTCTTACATTTCAGAGAAAAATCTTGCAGATGATAGTTGTATAACCATTGTTTTAGGAAAAGTGGTAGCTAAAATATTGCTTATAAAATAAATAGTTTTAGATTCTTTACCCTGAATTATCTTGCTTTATGTTGATCAGGCTCCTAGTGACCCAGCAAACCAACCAATCAGTGGGTTTGACATGGAAAAAGTAACAACAACGCTGAAACAGTTTGTGAGAGACTGGAGTGATGAGGTACTTTATCATGCATTTGTTTGTTAATAATTGGCATATGTGTGTACTTGTAACATTGCAATTTGATAATTGCCCAATGAGGCACACAGTGATTGGTGAAAACCTAAGGTGATCACATGGTTTTAATGATCTTGTGGGTGGTGGCCTCTCTCCACCCTAGAGTATAAATAAGGTACAGGTGAATTGTCAGGGAAGTCTGATGAAATACTGGGGGAGGTAACCTTGCAATGGACTAACATCCCAGTAAAGTAGTACTCCTAATAACTTTGTGTTATGGAAACTGCGATAAACTCTGCATTCATTTCAAAATAGGTTACATAAGGTCAGCAAACTAATCTCTCATACTTTTGACACTGTAAATATGAAATTACTTTTGTAACAGGGAAGAGCTGAACGTGATGCTTGTTATAAACCTATTACTGAAGAGATCCAAAGACTTTTTCCAGGATCAGAATGGTGATGAAACTATCTCAGTTTGTAAAGAAAAAAAAAACTCAATAAAATTTAATAGTTCAGTTTTTATTAGGACTTTAACCCAGTAACACCTAGTAGTGATTAAGATATCACCCCTGAATCACACATTAAGGTCAAAAGTAAAAAGGAAACGGTCACTGACAAAAGAAGCTCTTGGTTTTTAACAAATTCTCCTTGTCAGCACCTTAGGAAATGTATAGAAAATATTAGGGAGAATATGCATACTGATGTTACACTGTAAGGTGTAAAGGGTTAACATCAGTGATCTGTATAGCAGTCACAATTAGAAGAACTCCAAATCACATATTTACTGTAAAAGTGTCAATTTGGAACTTTTAATTCACTGGATTACCATACAGATACTGTCAGGCCTGAATTTGGCTGTAATTTACAACCTGAATCATACTACAGTGACTTGTTATGGCTTCCACATTAAATTTCAGTTCTAGAGGAGGGGTGTCCATCCTTGTACCTGGAGCAGGTTTAGCAAGACTGATGTTTGATATTGCAAAACTTGGTAAGAGAGATTCTAAAAATTTCTTTTTTAGTAGCGACATAATTTCTTATTCCTTCTCTGGTTGTTCTTTTTGTTGCATTTTTGATTAAAACTGCCTTAACTCTTTTCCTTTCAACTGTCTGCTCTCAGGCTTTAGGGGGTATTTTGTATTTTTTCACCCTCTTGTATGTCCTCTGCAGCTTGTTTGTGTGATGCGCATTTGATCATATGTAAATGGAATTTGCGCACTACAAATATTAAACTATTATTATTATTATTATTAATAGTGCCTTTTGTGTTTTATTGATGTAATCTGCAGTTTGTTTGTGTAATAGTGCCTTTTGTTTTGTTTTATTGATGTCATCTGCAGTTTGTTTGTGTAATAGTGCCTTTTGTTTTGTGTTTTATCAATGTCATCTGCAGTTTGTTTGTGTAATGCCTTTTGTTTTGTGTTTTATCGATGTCATCTACAGTTTGTTTGTGTAATAGTGCCTTTTGTTTTGTGTTTTATTGATTTCATCTGCAGTTTGTTTGTGTAAATAAATAGACTGCCTTTTGTTTTGTGTTTTATTGCAGTTCTCTGAGACCTTCCTTTTTTTCTTGATTTCATTCTTATTTTTTATTGGAATCCTCTTGTAGTGTAATTATTGCTTTTTTTCATTCTCCTTCTCTCTAGATTTTTGCTTTTTGTTCTTTAGTATGTTTAATGGAATTGCTTTACTCACTATCATTCTCTAGTCATATTGACTATCAAAGAAATAGTACAAAGTCATCTAAATAGAGAGGTGGCATAAAAGTTTTAGCAAAGGCTGACTCAAATTGCTTTTGAAGCAGTAACTGTAAGTTTGATTTCAAAATTTTTCAATTTATCTAAGGTTACAGATGTCAAGGGAATGAATGGAGCTTATACATGCTATTTGCCTCACACTTTATATTAAACAGGTTAGCACTTACAGTTGATTTACTTATCTTGTGCAATGAGACAGTAAATGGCTAAATTTGTAATCTAGCTTCCATTTCCCCATAATATTTGATACATTTCAAATTATTTTTTTTCATCAGTCTTGCGTGGAAAGGCGATGACTAATTTCATATTAAGTTTCCTAGAAATACAGAAAACACCACACATTGACCAATAGTAAGAAGAATATGCACCTCTTACTCACCGAGTAGGAGGTCCTAACTGTGAGTTATTGACCACCAAAAAAACCGATGTTTAGTAACCTTTATCTCGTTCAATAGTGAATATGCAAACATGTAAATAGTTGATTAAAGATATTTTTATTGTTCTTATAGTAATTGTAGTTTTAGTGAATTATTGATTGTAAATTTAGCCCTTTAATTCAGTTAATTCTGCAATGTGGCAAATAAACGGTATATTATTATTATTATTATTATTATTATTAGAACTTACAGTATGGATTGAGGAAATGAGGTGTTTCCTTTACCTGATTTTTTTAGAGCCCCTGGCACGTATCATATTACAATATACCCGTATATACACCAGACCTGCAATAACCGAACATCAGCTGATCAGATACGCGCAGTTCAGATCCCAGATGTGGACCCATCTGATATTCCACCCAACCTCAATTTTTCAATGGCTGCTGGAGATTTTTTATAAGTTTACACTGAGAAAGGTACTGTATTTGAAGGTGCATTTGAAATTAAGTATTCGTAATGGTGGTTCCGACATAGGAGTTGTTCAGCAGCAATATATGTCGAGTGAAAAGTGTGATCATTTCTTTAATTACAAAAAGAACGCGCACGCGAAGCTTGACAATCCGTGACAAAAGCTGATAATTCTATCTCTACACGGGTCGGGAACAGAATATCACGCACACAAACTAAGTTTTAGCACCGCCAGCTTTCTTGTTTTCTGTCGCAAATTTGCCAGTTGTGCAATCCATACAATTTTTGCGATTATTCAAGTAAACTTCATGTGTGTGGGGCAGAAATGCTGACCTTGCTATGTAAGACAGATCTGGTTCTGTTTTCTCATAACAATCGACATTGAGAGACTGTACGTTGATGTTTTACCTCTCTGCATTTAGTTCATTTATAACCCGCAGAACAGGCGTAAATTTGTTTTTGGCATTATCCAGGCGAGGAGCACGCAGCGTGAGTCAGGCGCTAGGGGAGCGTGGAGCGTGAGTCATATAGCTCCTCTCCTCGTGCGTGACTCGCGTTTGCCTCATTTCGCCTAGAAACGCTAAAAGAACTACGCTAGTTCTGCAGACTAGTTAATGTGATGCTGAACAGGCAGATTTCGCAGACTGGTTCGAACAACTACCTTCTATTAATATATAATTTTGTGTTGAATAAACTAGTTCATGTTGAACTTTAGTTCTCCGTTTTTTCCTTTCTTTCTCAGAATCATGGGACTGTGTGGTAACCTGTTACTTCATTGACACAGCTCATAATGTCATCGCTTTCATCGAAAATATTGAAAAAATCTTAAAGCCTGGTGGCTACTGGATTAATCTTGGTAAGTTTAAACGAATTCAAATCATTCTGACCGAGGTAGTACACCACGGCAATAAGAATGTACGATCATCCATTCTCTGGCGCGATACTGCCCCTCCTCCACTCAGGAGTATTAATAGACTCCGGGGAGCTTTCAGGAAAACCCGAGGGACTGGGGAAAGTGACCAGCGAGGGACTAGCTAGCATTCCATCCAGGGAGGGGGGGGGGTGAATGGGAATGTAGCCACTTGTCACTTCTTAACGAGTATAGGAACCGATATAAGCTCCAGCAGTTATGAAAGTAAGGCTCGTGACTTGTACTTCTCTTTTTCACGATCCATTGTTACAGGTCCACTATTGTATCATTTTGCTGACATGGCAAATGAATGGTCTGTGGAGTTACCGTACGATGAGATCAGAAGAATTGCTACGGACCACTTCAAATTTGAAATACTTGTAAGTTCACATTACTTAGTACCTTAGCATTCAGAGTGCGTCAGTGCACATTAGCTTGGTTTCTTTATCTACACATCAAGATAATCGTATGTTACAAGCCATTTCTTTCCTTAACTGTGATTGCAGTGGAGATTGATTGTCTGTGAGTATTAATCATTTTTCTCTTCTTCTATTTTGCAGAAAGAAGAGACCAGTATTCCATCGGGATATATTGAAAATCAACGATCCATGCTGAAGCTGGTTTATGATAGCGTGTTTTTTGTCGCTCGTAAACCTCTCTGACATAAGCGAAAATGTCCAGTAAACTTATTCTGATATTCACGTACCATCATGAACTGATTTTGAATGCCAAGGCCATATTCGTTTATGACAACAAATAGTTTAATCAATAAATCCATCAGTTTTTTAATGGTTGCATTTATGAACTGGACATTAATTGGCATAAAGAGTAATAACACTCACTGCTATTTCATTATTTTAACGAAACGCCTCAGTGGGAGATAGAATGTAAGGGTGGATTTTCAGAATCTCCTTTCTGTGCGCTTTAACACCGAAACTCCATTAAACTTCCTTATTCATAAAATCCATCAGCCATGTCGCGTTCGTTTTTCTGGGACATTAGTTAGATTAAGCACCGCAAAAACGGCGAACGCTGAACGTCGGCTAGCCGTTTGTCGTTTGCCGTTCCGTCCGCGATGTTCGTCTGTTTAAGCTTCCCGACGACACGGCAGAACAAATGTTCCCGGTCACCATTCACTGCGACTAGAAATAATGGATACAAAGAAGCAGTGTATTTTCCGCTTGAATTTGAACTCTATTAGCTTTACAAGCAGTTCATATAGAGGTAAGATGATAAACGAAGCTTAGCTATAAAAGCAAGCGATCGAAATGTAGAAATAGTCGGTAAAAATGGGCGGCAAATACTCACGTTTTCGCGTTCCCTACAAACAGGAAAAAATTAATGTCCTCGAGTAGAAACGGCGGCCGGCAAAGGGCAAACGCGGGAAATGTCAAGTCACGTCACCATCTCTGCCGTTCGCGGGAAAAAATACATGGTGCTTAATCTCTCTAATCTGTTAACCCTCTGACCCCCGACAATGACCAGCATCTAAATTCTCCTCACGGTATCACCACTGAATTAAACAAGAGAATAAAGGTAATGATCACCAAATAAAGAATCTCTGGATTGTCAAATTCATTCTCCATATGTAATGCATAAAGAACAGTAGAGAGAATAATAAACTTACTGATCTTTGGGTGTCAAGGGTTTACATTTTGCCGCCGTTAAGACTCGTCACGTGGTGCATGGTATAGTAATGAATTCCCGAGGCTGACGATTCAAGCGTCAGCCCTTCGTCAGAGCCTAACCCCAATCAATTCACTTAAACAAGGGGCTAACGCTCGAGCCGTCATTTCAGTAGTAATTCTTTACGGTGGCCACTTACAATATCAAATAATTTGATAAGACCAAAACATATAACTTGTTGCTGACAGCAATGCTAAAGGAGCCGACACTGACCGGTTTGTCAATCGTCTACATTTCCTACTTCCATAAAAACAATCAAACAAACAAAATCCAACTGATCTTTTAAATGGTTAATCGACAGTTTGAAACAGAAACCATCTTCACAACGCACATATTAATATATTCTGAAGCTTGTAACAGCTGTTCAAGACATTTTCTCAAGTTTTCCGCGGTCAGTATTTTATGCACTAGCCACACCACACGTTAATTTTTAAATAACATTTAGTTTCAATACATTGACATTATTTTAATATTTCGTATTCCTAATACTTTTTAACTATTTACTTTCTTTAGTCTAATCTTATTTAAATCATCTTATTTGTTCAAAAAAATGTTACATGATATTGGCCATTCTCTACTATTTTTCAATCTAAAATTATGTCTGCTGGTAAACCCGAGTATTGCATAAATAAGTGGGCTTGTTTTACCAAAAATAAAAAAAAAACAATTGCACTATGAAAAATAACATTTAATATCATCATACATGGATCATAAAAATCTTCCCGAGATAAAGAAAATATCCTCAAGAACAGCCGCTTCCTCTTCATCTGAGTTTACAATGTCACCAATCCGCGGACTTCTCTCCTTATTAGTTTCTTGTGAATACCCGGAGTCCGTAGTGTCCAGTCCTCTAACAGCTGCCGGAACCTCGAGTCCCAAAGATTTACTTTCTAAGTTCTCAACTATATCCACGAGAGATAGCGGGTATGGATTTTCACGTACCCCACTAAGAGATAAAAGTAGTTGGTTATACATTTTGTGGTTAATTTTAAATTTGGTCGTCGAATGGAGAAAGAATTTAAGCGGAGTTTGTCCACATCGTGTCAGCAAAACTGTATACGCTCTTAAAGTTACATCTCGGGTGAACAATAATGCACTTTGTATTTAGACTAACGTTACAAAACAAAACAAAAGCAGCTCCACTGTACCTTTCTAAACTTGGGTCCAATCTTCCTGGTCTGTCATCATCATCAGGGAATGTATGAGAGCCACGTGACTGTGAGCTACGCTCAACGTCACTGTACAGTGAAAACCGTTGATCGCTGGCTACTGCTTGTCTCTTAAATGATCCTTGGGTATGAGAATGTGACAGTGGAGGTCCATGGTAAGACGATTCACCCTTATTTTGCCTTCTTCCGCCGAGAAAACTGTCTGCTCTAAGACTATCAACTGTTAAGCTGCCTTGTTCAGAATTGAAGTCGAAATTAGATCTCGGGTAAAATGAACTATTGCTGTCTCTTCCGCTGACCATATCTTTTTCTGTGTTCTGTATTTCTCTCAAGGCCGCAATCTTTCCGTTAGCAGAAACATCATGACTACGGCTATGTAGCGAGTACCTAGAACCCGAAAGACGGCTGTCAGGATAGTTTGCCTTTGCTCTTTCATCAACATGTTCTTGAGGAGTTGGTAGCCTATCGTCAGGGACTATAGCCCTGCGATAAGTACGGTCAGCGGGTGGCTGGGGCCCGCGCTCACGTTCAAAACTGAACCTTGGCTGACTGAGAGTTGGAGGAGCGGACTGCACCCGGTAATGAGGGTCTGGTGCGAGAGCTTCTATGTTTTCTTTTTCAAATCCCAACCTGAAGGAAGGTAAAAAAATGAAAAACATTGTAAAGAATGAAAGAAGGTGAAAGAAACAAACAAACCTTACCTGTCTTTCGCGTTCCCATTGTATACTTCAGCTGTTGCCAAACCTTCTTCACCCGGTAAAAGGATTCCTGAAGTTGACGAATGCTTTGCTTTCCGTGGATTTGCCTGAAGGATGCCATGATTGGAGGAGGAACTTACTGTAGGGGAAAACACAAGTTACACAATTGATAATAAATAAATCGCGTACACCAAGTTCAGAGTATTTTCTAACACCTAGCGCAACTAGTGACAACTTCAATTGCAGTCCTTAGCGATACGTATTTGACCGTATCTATCCTTGTCACCCTTGACTGGTGACAAAATTACTTGATGGAAGAATATAGAGTTCACAGGAATGACTTTGCACAAGCCTGAAGTGACGTCGCTTGTATGGGTTGAACTCACCTTCGGGAGTAGGAATAAGGGATTGGGCGGGTGACACTTGACGAGGCTGAGAAGCAGGTCTGGGTACGAGTGGTCGAGCGGGCGTCTCGTCCACGGTAGACGTGGCTGGTTTTTCATGCCCAGTGACCTGCAATAAAGAAAACTATAATACTAAGCTCGAGGAACACAACAAAAGAGGACTTTGAAAGTAATCTGAGATTGTGTCGGTTTTGCTAACTTCATAATGTGATTGGTCAAAAAATTCAGCGCCCCCTTTATCAAAACTTTACCAATCGCGACTCGACCGCTCAAGCTTTTTAATGATATTTTCCTTAACTCTGAGTGGCTGTTGCCAATACCGAAGGTTTCGTATTAGGACAATCAAACAATAGCCGCTCCAAATTACAGAAAGTTTGAAATCTCTTCTCTCTTTAACAGACGAACACGCCATCGAAACCAGTTACCTTGGTTTCCATTTCCATCGACGAAAGTAGTTTTTGCTGTTGTTGTTGCTGCTGTTGTCTCTGCTGCTGCTGCTGATGTTGTTGTTGTAAATTCTCAACTTGCTGAAGTTGTTGTTGTAGCTGTAACTGTTGTTTCTGTAGTTCAATCTGCTGTTGTTGAAGGTGTAGTTGCAGTTCATATTCACGGCAATACAAGCGGTACACTGCATCTAACTCAGCCGAGAAGCTCCCGGAAACTCCCGACACTTCGGAGAATGACCTGTTCAATGGAAACAGAGTAATTTGTTGAGCAATCAATAACGGATATAGTGTGCAGCATTAATGTTTCTTTTATCTTTTGCTGAAGTGTTAAGTTATAGATTTTCAAAGTCTAAAACTTATAACCCTTTTTATCACCACCACCAACCCACCTAGGAAAACCAGTTATCATTTACAGGCAACGCAATAAATCTGAAATAAACTCAAGGTAATAAAAAAATCTTCCACACAAGCCAAGAAGCTCACACATCTGAACCTTATACTCCCCCACTTCCATAGCAGGAAGAGACGAGGATTAATACTTTTGCTTCCAAACAGGATGCTGGTACTGAATTATTGGTACATCTCTCCCCCTCCCTCCACTCCCCTCCAATAATTTATCAGGCATCAATGACACTTGGCTGATATGCAGATCCAGTGGAAAGGCACAAAACAATGAACCTTGTCACAGTGGAGTGAATGTGTTGGCCCAGAAAGTTCAGGAAACGGGGCAACGGGAAAAAAAAATGACAAAGCCATTATAATATATATCTTATTAACCAAGCACGAGGGCCGTACTGGGAGAATATTGGCCCGAGGTCTTGACAGTACGGACCGAGCGCAGCGAGGTCCGTACCAAAAAAGACCGAGGGCCGATATTCTTCCAGTACGGTCCCGAGCAAGCTTGGTTAATAAGAGATTTATTATACGACTGAAGTTCAAAGGGACACAAGTGCGGTATCATTCGCGACCATTCGGGACAGTGCCCGGTCCAATACTGAGAGAATATTGACCGGCAATAGAGCATTTTGATTGGTTGATTTTACTTATTGGCCCTCTGACTGCCCGAGTCGTGTAATAAATTTGGTATATCACCCACAACATTGTAACTATTCTGCCAAGCATAATGTGCCAGTTATTGTGATCTTCACCCTTTACATTAAGTGAGCTGACAGCCATACCAGTTGTTACAAGATACTGCTCTTATTGACTGTGAGCCCAGTAGCTGACTTGATGATCAGCTTACCTATCTTCATTTTTTCTTGGAGGTACTTTCCGATCAGTTGTCAATCCAGGATCTCCATCACTAAACATAGAAAACAAAGGTTTTACTGGCAGTGGATGCTGAGACATCATACCAGGTGCAACTCTTGTTGCTGACTGTGAGGAATCAGCAGAGGAGGGTTGGGGTTGAGTAGCCATGCTTAAACTGTCAAGGAAATAAAACTGTACAGTTAATGACAGTTAAAATTATGAAATTATAATAATGATAATACTCAAAATGATTATAACTAAAGAAATGTAAAAAAAAAAACAATAGTTACCCTAGTGATATCAATAAAAATGATAATGATGATGATAATTGTGGCAATGGCAATGATACTGATCAATTAATCATGACAATTAAAATGATAATAGAATAATGGAAACTGTCTTCCCTTCAAATAAAAATAGGAGACTGTCATTTTACACCCCCTGTCAAGAAGTTTCATTATAGGGAGAGCAAAGCAATGTGAAATAAAGTAAGAGAAAACTGAAGGTCCTTCAATCTTCCCTCCTTAAATATTCTTCATCTCTAACTAAGGGGTTGTTCCATCATCATTATAATTATGTATTAAAAAGTGAAAGCCCAAAAAGGTTATGATGATCATGAGCCCAGCTGATCCTCAACATCTGTTAGAGAGGTCCCTACTGATCTCATTAGCTAAGTACCTTGTTCCACTCGGTTCTGCTGACTTATAAGAGGGTCCCTCCTTTTGTGAGGAGCTGAGCTGAATTTCTGTTGACTGAACTTTGCTGGATGCAGCAACAGGGTGACACTCACTCCTGGACTGTACAGTGGAAGGTAAGGCTGGTTGTCCAGGGCTCAACACCCTCATATGACCTTCAGTAACACTGTTCTGATGGGCTGTTATCTGTGATTTTTGGTCCCTGCACCTCTTGTTTGGAGGTGTTGTCTTATTCATCACTTGCTGTGAGAAGCTTGCTTGGAAACTGTTGGCCTTAAGTTTCTCTTCTGTATGTTTACCATTACTAGTGTCTGGCCTTGTATTACCTGGAATTTCTGTTATAGGTTGTTTGGATGGAGAGAAGTGTGGAGGCTTGTTTGGAGAAAGAGATGATAACACAGTACAAATAGATACCTACAGCACATGCCAAAAACACAATCATTATCATAATGTTAGTTATTATAAATACAGTTACTGGTTCAGAAAAATTCTTACATTTAACGATTTACCCTTAACTCCCCTCTAGCTGCTGCACATCTTGCAAATTAGTTAAAAGAGAATTTGGTGTTAGATCAAGATAACAACTTCTACTTGATGAGATGGAGTATTCTCATTACCTGTTTGCTTTCTATGTATGGATATTAAGGGAAGAAGTTACGTTAATCACTTGTGGAAGTTAAATGACCAAAACAGAATTTCTCCTTACAACATCAATACAATATCAAGCAGACAAGTCATAAGAATAAAGAAAATTACAAATTAGGGGATAACTAGTTGATCTAAAAGCAAATTCTCTAATAAAAGTAACATCAAAATGATAGTATGGCAAATAGTAGGGAGAATTAATATATTGATATCTTGGGAGTGATAAGGCTAACACTTTCTGTTTGGAGGTGCTCAGCAAACACAATGTAGTCTAATCGCATCAAAGAATAAAATCTCACATTCCAATTGGATAACAAAGCAAGGTATTTAGTGTGGAATTGTCAGTTAAAAATGAGGCTAACTGATACTGTTTCACATCTATGTATACATGACAACTATAAGTGATGCTGTTTTCTTTTTGTTTTTTTTTCTTTTTTATTCAATAATGTGATTCAAGAAAAATCCATCACTTGAATGACTTGTGAATTCTGCATTAAATTGCACTTGAAAACAGATATTGCATACGCAATTTAATGCGGATTTCCCTCATCGACTAATGAATTTTCCTATAAAATTGTCCTAGTTGGTATTCATACAAAAATTAGTGTACAATTGTTTAACATAATGAATGATTTAACTTCTGGAGTTTTGTAATAATTAAGGTGTGTGTTTACCAAATGCATTGAAACACTGCAAATTGATACAACTGATATGTGTGTGGTGTTCATGAAGTGACATTGCAAACCCATTGCAGAGTGGATAAAGTTTTTTGCATGGTTTTCTCAGTTGTTTTTCAGGGTAAGTTGGGGTTGTCACACATGGGCAGTTATGGGTGTTTCAGGTGTTGATAGGTTAAAATTTTCAGGAGTCATTGGAATTGTTTAGCAAATAGAACATAAAAGCTTACTTGTGGGTAGTTAAACAAATTAGGGGTTATAAAATCTTTCCAACCAAGTTGACACATATTTTTCCTAATTGGTTTCAGATTTTGATTATCATCACAATTAATTCAACATTGATAATTATGAAAATAGGACAGATTTAAAAAAATCTCTAAATCCAGCAAAAATTTGATATAGGGCTTCAAAAAGCTCTACAGTAGAACACAACACAAGTATTGTAAAGGGGTCAGTAAGAAATAACCTAAAGCCCGAGACATGTACTGTCTAGGCATCAGAAATAAACGTCATAAATGACACAGTTCAAGGACAAACCTGCTCCTTGTCTTCTGTTGTTGGAGTTTTAGCTGTTTTTCTTGGTGAAGATGTCCTTCCATTTGCCTGAAACTTTACCAAAAGTGCTTGCAATTCCAGGAACCTGTTTTGCAAATCTTGTCATGTCAAGGAATGAAATAACTTAAGACCCTCTATAGAACGTGATCATCTGCATCAAGAAAAATTGGCCTAATGGTAAATAAAAAACTGAATAATGTAGGCACCTTTGAACAGTAGGATACTGGTGCGGTATAAATCTTTTATTATTATTATTATTATAAATTTGAAACAAAATGCATTCAAGGTAAAACTGTAGTGGGGGTAAAACATGAGTGGATACAAGCTTTCTCTTTGATCACTGCATCATACTCCTCTTGCAAGATGGCAAGCCGTTCTTCAAATGCCAGTCTCTCTTCTTCAATCTTCTCCTCAGCAAGTTGTCGTTCCTCTCCAACCTTTGCAAGTTCTTTGACTAAGTTAGCCACACGTTTCTTGTCTTGTGGATTCAGCTCTTTTAAACTCAACTCTTGTTTCTCTTTTCCCTTTTGTTCAAAGTAACCCTCACCTTCAAAGTAACAATAATTAATACACTACATTTTATCAGGCATTTAAGGCTACTGAAAAATTACACAACATCATGTGGAAAATCTACTTTCACATACACTGTACCCCAAACAGAATATACACATTCACACTCCACAATTTAAACAATAGACACTTTCTTTGGTAGAATCTTACCAAAATGATCAAATGAGTGTGAGACAGATTTTGCACTCAGTCCATTCCTTGGCATCTCTTGCTCCCTCTTGTCCAGACAATCATGGAAAGATTTTTGAAGAGTTATGCCTCTCTGTTTTAACATGTGTACTGGCTTTCTCACCATTGGGTTCTTGATGTTTAGGCATGCTTCAGGTGCTACACCTCATGAGTAAAAAAAATGGAATTCATAGTTCATAACTTTGATGTCACACACTAGATGAATTGCAGGTATAAACTAATAAAAAAAAAAGATAGCAATAGACAGTAAAAGCTTGACAAAAATTCATTATTTTACATATTGTAAAAAGTTTGGATATGGGTTTTGGGTTAAAATGACTTCAAAAATAATTGAGTTGATTTTGTCTTTTGTTCTGGGTACATACTGGATGTATCATCAGTTTGCCGGTAAATTCTGTTTGAAGTGAAAGTTACCACTTTGGTGATCTGTGTTTGCACATTCAAGTGAAAATGTAGCAAGTTGTAAAGTTCTATGAATCACAGGACTGCTGTACTTAGAGTTCATGTTCTTAAAGTGCACCTAAACCCAAATTTTTTTTTTCGCTTAACGAAATAAACTTATTTTTTGGAGTATTTCTGTGCAAAAATTTTTAATTTGCTCAAATCTTTAATTTTCTATGCCCAGTCAAAATACGGAAAATCGGCCGCCATCTTGCCCCACGACCGAGTTTAAAGAAGAATGGCTCTAGCGGGTAATGTGACGTCAAATCGAGAACACGAAAGTCTGCATCTCACACATTTTCACTTGTTTGGGAAGATTGTCGTCGATATTGTCCGAAATATGCCGACTAGGTGTGTTGTATGAAGAATGTATGAAGCGCGATACCCTCTTGCAAATTTCGCACGTTGCTACATCCTTCTACAACACACTTAGTCGGCATATTTTCGGACAATTATCGACTACAACCTTCCCAAACAAGTGAAAATGTGTGAAATGCAGACTTTCGTGTTCTCGATTTGACGTCACATTACCCGCTAGAGCCATTCTTCTTTAAACTCGGTCGTGGGGCAAGATGGCGGCCGATTTTCCGTATTTTGACTGGGCATAGAAAATTAAAGATTTGAGCAAATTAAAAATTTTTGCACAGAAATACTCAAAATAATAAGCTTACTTCGTTAAGCGAAAAAAATTTTTTGGGTGTAGGTGCACTTTAAGTTATAGTTGCATGAAGTCAAAGAGATCAACACAGTGTGCAACATTGCACAAAATGTATTTTTCCTTTTTTCTTCTTTTTTTTCTAACTGGATGTAATTTCTGTTACGTATTTTATTGTTATTGGTTGCCAGAGCAACTTTGAAAATCACCAAGCATGGCAGAGCACTGATAGTCTTTAAACAAAGGAAAACAGTAATCAAACTAGTTTGAAATCATTTTAACCTTAAGATTACCACGCACCTTCAGGGGTGTCTCTTGTGCAAACGATGTAGCGCCATCCGGTTTAAACTGTAGATATCTAAACCCCTATATCAAATTAAAGCTTATAGGACTGGCTATCAGACTATACCAAAATTTTTGAAAAAAAAATTAATTGTTGAATTTTTCACGACTTCTAAACGCCAGAGCCTGAATCATCTTTTAAGAGCTACAAGAAAGGGAATAGTCCTTTTTACAGTTGTGGGCTTGGTGGCCAAGCCTTTGAACAGGAGTGAGGCTTAGGGTGATCTTGTTATGATAGAGGTGTTGCCGATTTTCAAATGCAAATTACTTTGTATCATGCTAACTAGATACAGGTCTCTATCACAACAGGGTCACCCTTAGCCTCATTCCTGTTCAAAGGCTTGGCCACCAAGCCCACAGCTGTAAAAGGGACTATTTGTTTGATTGCTCTCAAATTTTGACAGTAGCTAGTTTTACATATAAAAAAAAACATGTCTCAGAATTTTTATTTCTAAATACTCTTTTTTCAAGAGTGTTTCTTGTATGATCACTCCACATTTTTTAATCCTATTTAAAAAATGTTTTGTGACTTTTCACTGAAATTGAATATGGCAAATCGCAGACACCTTTTTTAGCACTCTGGCCCTGGAAATGGAGGAACACATTAAATAAGCGAAAAACAAAATTCGCTTTAACATGTAACGTTTAAAAGGTGACTCGGGCGCTCGCAATTAGAAGTCGTGAAAAATTCGACAATTCATTTTTTTTTCAAAATTTTGGTATAGTCTGATAGGCAGTCGTATAAGCTTTAATTTGATATAGGGGTTTAGATATCTACGCAGTTTAAACCGGACGTGCTACATCGCTTGCACGCAAGACACCCCTGAAGGTGTACAGTAACCTTAGCTCAATTTAAACAGGGGCTTGTAAAGACATGATTTTTGACCTAAGCAGGACAACTCACCTCGTCAAGGTCTTTTAACACTTGTTATAAATCATTTTCAAATCATATCAATTTGTAAACATTTTATACCACCTCCATTGGTATGAGCCTTTCTGGATATAAGTCTAGATGTTCATATTACAATTAAGTTTGAACCTAAGGCTTTTTCCAGGATTCAGTATAACAAGAGTGAAATGACCATTAAATAGCTAATCCTAACCTGGGACATGTACTTTCACAATTCTTTCATCTTGGTCATCAGCTGTGTTTAAGGTCAAGGCCAGTTAGTTCAAGGCTAAATCATTTGATCCTAGATTCCAATCCTATCTAAATTAGCTAAATATACTTACATAGTAAGGAAATATAAAGTACAGTGTTGCCGTTTGTTTGCTTGTGTCTGAAAATCTTTTTTATAAAAATAATGTTTTAATCTGAAGATCTTAATAAAGGAGCTCAATGGGAAGATCAGGATATACAATGAAGTGAATAAATGGCTGAATTTGTATTAAATCTGGGTAAATCTCTCTCCAGGTACAGCAATCGGTAGTCGATACGTGTAGGAAATTCGTTTGTTTCTCAACAAAGCTTAATAGATATTTTTTTTAGAATACAATTCTGTTGTAAGCCGTCTTGGGGTCATTCGTTCTAAACTTCGTTCTAAAGAAGTGACACAGCACAAACAAGTGGACAGCTGATGACGATCTTCATAGCTCGTAGCGCGGTTAATTGATAAGATATCACTTTTATATTCTAAAGAATGGCGAGTCATGACAATGAACGGAGTAAAATGTCTACGAAACTGTTAAAGTGATCAGCGCAAGCACAAAGATTAGCCACAGTTAGGACAGTTCAACCAAACTTAAAATTTACTGTTGAACAGGTACATCGCCATTAACTTCGCTAATTCTATAAAAATGGCTATTTTTTTAGTTCTAAAACAGATAAAAGACAGTATAAGGTTTGAATAGGATACAATCCTTTGACCAAAACACGTTTGTTTTCAAAGCTCTCTTGACTTTGGCCGCCATACTTACTTTTTGAAAAACACCGCGCTAGTACCCAAGCCCTTCTGATCTACGGTAGTCTTTCCATGAGAGGCAGAGAGCCTCGCATAAAGTGTTACATCGAGTCTACAGCAGCCCTCTCTCGTAACGTGAGTATTGGATTTTGGTCAGGAAACAAATCGGTTTCTCTTCATCCCTCCTATTCTTGATTCAAAAGGAAGATAATTGATTCAGGGTCTGACAATGAACACGTCTTTTACAGGGTGCAATGCCAAAAGCGTAGATTCTGACGTGCCATTCGCGCGCGTCTTTCACGTAAAAAATCTACGGCTCTTTGACCGAGGTCCCTGTGGTCCCACCTCCTTGCTCTGCGCAGAGTTTAGTCTCATACCGAGCCTTTCCACGGCCAAGCGATTGTAAGATCCTGGTAAATACTTATATTACATTTCAGTTACACGGTCTTTTCACGGGAGGATGTGGGTACGAGATTACGCAAAGCTTTTGCAATAACTCCACTCGCTTCGCGTCATCTCAAAAAAGCACATTGCCATAACATATTTAACGGGCTACACAAGTTTTGCACCTCTTTTTTATTGACTTCTATTAGTTTACTGCAATAACTTGTGAAAAATGTTTTTCTTACTGATACAAGCTTGATGTACAAGCATTTATCAATACTACATGTCGCATTGACAATGGCATTGTACAACAACCTCGTTCCTAGGGCCTTTCCCTTAGTTGAGGGTGGGCCCCACCCCCAATTCAACCCCCAACTAAGGGAAAGAGGTTGATTGTACAAGTGTGTTAATATCTTGACTATGTTTTGCTCTTTCAGCCAATGGTACGCTAATTTCTAGAGCCATTACTCTGAAAAGTCATTTTAACAAGCAACGAGTTATATCAGTTGCATATAAACCGGTACGGCAAGTAAGGCGCATGCCGTGAACATAACACTGCTGACCTTTGACGCGTCGTCTGCTCCATTACAAAGGTCACCGGAACAACATAACAAATCACAAGTGACTTTTAAGCCCCGCTCTTCGGCTTTCCGGCACCTTTCAAACTTGCTCGGTCCATCCTGGCATTGCTTGTCAGTCAAACAACCCTTAGCGTAAAAGAACTTAGTCTGGTCTTTGTAGAAAAGCTTTGCACAGCGGCTTTGCCAGGAAACGCATGTGATTTCTTTCACATCGCAGTCTTCCCAACTCTCTTTGCTATCACACTGATAACATTTGAGTGCACATACTTTGTTGCGGCATAAAAAAAATAATAATAATAAAAAATCAGTATGCAGACAATGGAAAATGTTTGCATAAATTCTAAAAATCACGAGTGACTTGTCAGTATTCTTTTCATTCATTCATTCATTCATTCATT